TCAACCCAGCACAATACCAAACCCTGCCATTTCAGCCCATAGGGCTCTAGAAGCTGCGTTCCAAAGCTTGGTGGATGGAGAATGGATTGCAGGCCTTCGTCTTGAGCTCGTAGGGCGTCGACACCCAGCAGGGCGTGGGCTACTCGCACCCTCTGGTACGCGTTAGCCAACAGAATAACTCGCAAAGTCGTACTACAAGACTCAGTAGATTGGTTTTTCCTTATGCTGAGGAGCCGAGAGCATATTTTTAGGCGCGCAAAGGAGCTGACGGTAGACAGGGCTGGGTGGGTAGAGATTTCGCATCCTTATCAGCTTGCTCGACTCAAGCTTTAGATTACCCCTGATAAGCCAAGTCCCTCCGGTGGCTCGCTCGCGTTCCCTTGGTAATAGCAGAAATAGTCACTTACACGCAGCTTATGTACTCTTGGATTAAACCAAGTACCTAGAAGACATTTGTCTTCACGGTATTTATATCACGACCAGGGCCATCCCGCCAGGTCCGGCAGCAGCCAAGTGTTGTTGAGGTTGGAAGCCGGGCACTTCGCACTTGATTGCATCCTTATTAGCTGTAGTACATAACTACTCTAAGTAAAATTGGCTTAGTGATTTTCCAAGTACTTACATCTTTATCTCTCGTACTAAGTACTGTGTCTACTCAGATCTTTAAGGATATTCGTTCACAAACGTACCCGAAGAAGCACGGTAAGACAGGTAGTAACAAAGACAGTGACGATAAGAGGAGACTGGCAGCTTATCTTATCACCTAATTAATGGTCGCTGTAGGCGTAAGGGGTCTTGATCGCCAGTCCACAATCGTTCTTGGGACCTTGTCGCCCAAATATCATCAAGTAAAGCCGAATTTTTCACTCATAGATGCAAGATTCCCTTTCAAACTCATCTTCGCTAAAGTCTAGGATCGAAAAGAATATAACAAAACCAAGTCATCAACTCTGGTTGCAGTTTTTGAACTCATAGTCGGACACTCCAAGTCTCAGTCCCTCTTCCCACTGTTATCCATCCGTGACATTTCAGTAGCAGGAGCAACACCCTGCCCAATACGACCCTCGGGCAACTCGTTCATCGCATCCTCCTCCTTATCCAAATCCCTGAACTGGAACCAGAAGATCACACCCGCCACGCCAGCCAGCACGGCCACGATGCCATAGTTCCATACCAGATATGGGTCAGTACTCAACGGCGTGAAAGCCTGCCCCAACGCCGCGGAGATGGCCGACATGAAGAGCGCCACAGCCTGGACCATGGACCGCATGTTTTTGGGCGCCTTGCTGAAAGCGTACTCGAGGCTGGTGATGCTGGCAAAGATCTCGGACAGGGCGATGAGCACGTAGGCGCCCGTCTGGGCCCAGACGAGAATGTCAACGGGAGGGCAGGGGTCGCCGTTGGGTAGGGTGCCCGAGGCGAACTGGCCGCAGGCGGAGCGCTTGTAGATGTAGTACTGCAGCACGCAGGCCCAGACCATGGCCATGGCGCCGGTGAAGAAGCCAAAAGCGATCTTCTTGATGGGCGTGAAGGGGATCCTGAGCTTGCGGAGGGTCGGATAGAGCACTAGGTCGCAGAGCGGGATGAAGAGAATGAGGGCTATGGGGTCGAGATTGGAGAGGATATCATTGGGGAGGCCGTTGAGCTGCATGGTGGCGGCTTGAGAGACTAGGTTGTTGTTCACTTGTGAGGGGTTAGATGAGGGTGATAACCTACGAATGGAGGGAGGGCAAGATTTGAGGCTTACATTGATTATACGAGAGCCAGTAGATGGGATACCATGAAAAAACGGCACAAGCTGCGAAGCCACGACGCCTGCAGAGGTTAGGAACCAGTCAACCCAAGTGCGCCGAAGCAATACTTACAGCTCTTCGACCCAGGCGTCGTCAAAGGTCATCCACTTTGGCCGAGTCGCATCGGAGAAGTTAGAAGGCTTGACCCTCTCCCAGAAGGTCCCGTCATGCATGTTCCTCCAAGTCTTGACTGGGTTAATCGACCATCTACCCTTCTGAGCAAAGAGAAACGTCCGCAGAGCCGGTCCCAAAACCGAGCCCGTCGGGGGCTGATCGCGATATCTACCCTTTCCCCACCACATGACCAGGGGGCACAGCGCCAGCATGCAGGTCGGCAGCGTAAAGCTCAGCCAGAAACCGACGTACTTCTCAGCGTACACCATTGAGATCTGGCCGACCAGAGCGCCAATATTGATGAACATGTAAAACCAGTTGTAGACCCTGTTGATGGTGATGGCAGGGTCGACAATCACCTTCTCTCCCGTCGTGAGCGTCCTTACGGTCAAGTGATCGATCTCGAGCTGCTCCGCGATCAAGGGACTGACGTTGGGTTTGAAACCTCCTGTGGCAAAACCAATCGTTCTAGCTAGAGTCAGCTTGATGGTGATCCGGACCGGCAGCCAGAATACCACTTACATCATGCCTACGAGCAGTGCCGATAGCGAGTTCCCGGCTGGCTTCGTGACGACGGGTGGGATAGCGGCGGTGATGAGAATCAAGTGGCCTACGAGATCAACGGCGATGGAGATGCAGATGGTCTTGTACCGCCCCCAGTACTTGTCGGCGACCCAGGCACCGAACAAGGGCATGAAGTACTGCCAGAATTGGTTAAAGGTCGTGATGCCGGTTGACGCCTGCTGGCCCATCCCAAGCGCACCGGGTTGGCCATTGGGCGCGGCGCCGGTCGTCGAGCCCGCTGGGAGAGGTTGTTGGATGAAGTTGGTGACTGGGATCGGTCAGCATTCCTCGACCGTTATGACTTCACTTATTCGCAAAACATACACTTTCAATGTCAGTTTATTCTGTAAAGCGGAGAACTCGAGTCTACTCACGACAATAACGGAGCCATAGTACGAGAAGCGCTCGCACAGCTCGACAAAGGCGATGGTGAAGAGCTTGAAGGGAATGTGGTCCGAAACTCTCCTCAGAGTCTGCAACTCTTCGTCGGTCGGCGCGTCTGGCCGCGGCTGGATACCCCTCTTCTCGTCGAGAGATACGTCTTCGTAATACTTCATGTCGTATGAACCCTCTCTAAGCTGAGACTCAGAGAGGGACTGTTCAATCGTGTCCCCAGCTGGCATCGTGTTTTGGTTTCTCTGATGTCAAATCAGATATTGAAGCTGTGATCGTCACACGAGAGTGGTCGTACGGAGAGATAAGAAGACGTTGGGTGGCCTTCTGCATTTATGGTCTTGGCTCTTCCGGTCCGATATGTGAAACACGATTAAAGAAGCCGTGAAGGACACAGGGGTGAAGACGGGAAGAGACACTCGCTATCTTGGGGAAAGAAGGGCAAGGATTGGCTCATGATAAGGTAGAAGGCGAACAAGCAGGGATACTCAGGCCATGATAAAACCAAGAAAGAACGGACAGGCTCGTAGCAGATCGTGGGGGAGGGGGAAGGAAACACTACACGGAGCGGCAGCGGACTTGGGGCGAGCAGGCCTGAGCTCAGGGGGCAAGTGTAAGAGAAGTACAGACGAGATGGAAACCAGATTGGCGGATGTTGAACCTTCGCGCGTCTTCTCCTTTGCAAATCTATTGTAGGAAATGTATCAAGACAGAATAGTATTATAGTTGTCCTAATAAACAAGCCGATTGATATTGATATTTGTATGTGATTATCGTTGGCTTCGGCTGCGAATCATTCAACCGACCAATCCCTGAAACATGCTTTAGCTGTACGGTCGATTAGACTTGGCACTTGAAGATTCGAGAAAAGAAAAATCTTTAGGTGTCAAGTCTAGTGACCTCCGAGTTGGCAACCGATTAAATGGACGCGTCAATCGCCCGAATGGTCGGGTGTGGCCAAACCGGGCCATTCCAAGTGCCGATGCTTCGTCGACGACAACTACGTGATGACTGTTCTGTGCCGGCCTGCTACAATGCCCGCTCTGCATGTTGTACAACTCACATGCGTACTCGTTGGCTCATAGTACGTGAGACGGTGTGAAGTCGCGACCATACGAATACCCATCGGGCGGGATGGTTTATAATCTGATTCACCTCACACATTCTCACCACCAGTAAAGGGAGAGTTGCCCAGAAACTTAGACACGGCGTGTCCTTCCTCCATCGCGTTTCGATTACGGCCGGCGGCAGGGCCTTCAGCTTCATAGCCCGAGCTCTAATCGCAGTAGAGAATCTAAAGAGCCAGCGATTGCGCAGTGCCCCGAGTTACTGCCGGCCCCTCAGCGGGAAACGTGGCCGTCGGACGTCCAGGTGAAGTGACGATACGTGGCGCATGTCGTTCCGAGTCAGGAAAAGAATGCAGCATACGAGAAATGGCAAAGATTTGAAGCATGTCATCAGGCGACAATCTCACGCCCTCTGGTCAACGTTTCGCTGTTCAAAAGAAGAAGAGGTCATCATTGACGTTTTCCGGGCGGCTCCACTCTGGACCGGCGCCGGCGCTAACTCCGGCTCGGCAGGAAGGGGGGCCGTATATGTGGAGTCGCGTTACATTGGCGGATTGGCGCTTCTCTGATGCGGATGGCTCAGGGGGCAGATATCGGAATGTCCGGGTGGATGAGAAAAGCTCGGAGACGTTGCTCGGAAAATTCTTGGTCTCAGGCTCCGTCTGTTTGGCCAGCATAACAAGGATGTCTCACCCGCAGATTCATCCTCAGAGTTGCGCAGGAGAATGATATTCATTGGTTCGCGCATTTGATGCATGTCTCTCACTTGCAAACAAAGTGTCTCAACCGACGGCGCATATGGATGCAAAGGTAGCGGCAATTCTTTTTGAACGAGGAGATGGAGTTATCTTGATGAAAGAAGCGGCCTTGCTGCTCGGTATTATTAAATGTCTACATGAATGTTCGGAACGGCCGAATGGGATATGCAAGAAGAGAGCAGCGTAACAAACCACTCTATACGCGCTCCATCACTAGGCCCAAAGATTTCCATCTCTTGAACCATCCTACTTTACGCCCATGACTGAGACCTTCAAAGAAGCCCTGCCCATACCTAGACATTGTCTCCTTTCTAGAACTTGCCCTTGAGCAGGTTGGAGATCATCTCGCGACCGGTGATACGGGTCGTCGTCCACAGTGTGGGGAAGTCGAGGGTGCTGGACAGGCCGTCGGCGAAGCCAAAGAAGAGCATGGGCGGGATCCAGCCGCGGGCGTACTCGAGCGCGAAGCAGCCCTCGTCCATCTTGTACTGCTTGACGTCGCCGCGGTGGAGGTGGTGGACGGTGCCCTGGGGGTAGACTTCGGGCTCGTACTTGCCGGGGACGTAGGCGAGCTGGGTGCCGTAGAGGATGTTGAAGTAGTCGTCGGCGGTGTGACGGCCGGAGTGGCCCTCGGTTCCGATGGCGGTGCCGAAGACGATGAGGTACTCGGTGATGCCTGGTGGGTTTTATTAGTAAACTGCCTTCCATCATCTTTGGAAGATTGAGAATGGAAATGAGGAGACTCACTGGCGTGAATGATGTACATAGCGCCCATGGCACCACCGGCGTTGTTAAAGACCCATTCCTCATCCAGGTTGACGTTGGTGGGGTGCAGGCCGTTGAGCTCGGTCACAATGTAGTTGACGACGGAGCGCGTGTCGTTTCCATGGGTGGCGATGGCGCGCTTGGAGAGGTCGTGCAGGTGCTCGTGATCAAAGATGTAGAACTTTTCCAAGTTCTTCTCGAGGAACATGTAGATGGGGGTCAGGAGACCGATCCACAGCGCCAGTGTAAACAGGCGCCCGAGAGACGGCATTGTGATTTGCGCAAAAAGTCTGGAGTAAGACTTGGGTTACCAAAGTGCAAAGAAAGGGGAAGGAATGTGGTGGTCCAATTGACGGACTTGTGTACAGTGGAGGAGAACGGAGAGGGCGCACACGGGAAAGGTGTTTGGCGACGGGAGCACCGGCGAGATGGGTTTAAGAAGGGCTTCGTTGAGCTGCAGTACCCGTTGTCGCATCGCTTATTGTTTTTGGTTGAGAGATTGGCAGGACCCTGCATTTTGCCCTTTCTGCCATGCGCCACCGCCCCCGGAAGCTCAAGTTGCCAGTGGCCTGACGGAGCTTTGATGGTGGGGCTGGCCATGGGTTTTTGTTGTTTAGCTGCAGCTATCCGGGATGGCGGGGCCGTCGACTGGGCAATTCACTGAGAAAAAAATCGGACTTTCGGGTTTCTGACAAGTGCAATCTCAACCACCGAGCAAACGGGACGGACTTTGATACTCTAGCCTCATATACGGAGCCGAAAGGAAAATTCGCGACTGGGGCCAGCTCACAACAGACACCTCACTTCTCAGCAGTCACATACACACAAAATCAAGTGTGAAAACGGCTCCAACCACAGCTAGCTCTCACACGTCATACATCCGCCCCCATATCTCATCATCATGGCCACGGTTGAGACTCCCCAGACCGCCGTGCCGGGCAAGGTTCTCGGCCCTACCACGCGGTTCGCCGCCGGCCCAGGAACACATGTCTACAACGGCAATGTCGTCGCCTCCCTGCTCGGCGATGTGACCGTCACAGCATCGGCCAAGGCCCAGGCCGGCCTCACGAAGCGCCTCAACCGCATCACACCGCTGTCGCCCGAGGAGCTGGCGACCATCTCCGTGGCACGCAAGGGCGCTAGCAAGAAGCGCGAGGTGCTTCCCGACGTGGGCAACATGGTGCTCTGCCGCGTCGTGCGGTTGATGCCGAAGCAGGCCATTGTCACGATCCAGCAGGTTGGCGACACGGTGCTGCAGACGGAGTGGCAGGGTGTCATTCGCTCTCAAGACGTGAGGGCGACGGAGAAGGACAAGGTCAAGATCTATGAAAGCTTCAAGCCTGGTGACGTGGTGCGGGCGCAGGTGGTGAGTGGCCTTTGGCAAGACATTGAAAAGTGACTTGTGATGGGTAGCTGACTTGCTATATCAGATTTCTCTGGGAGACCAGGCCAACTACTACCTCTCCACCGCTGCCAATGAGCTGGGAGTCATCATGGCCACCAGCGAGGCTGGCAACGACATGGTGCCCGTCAGCTGGAAGGAGTACAAGGACCCGGAGACCGGCATCGGAGAGCCGCGCAAGGTGGCCAAGCCAAACTGATTGGGGCATTGTCTCATCTACTTGCCTGTCTTTTCACGATGTGCAGGTCAAGCTCCGGAGAGCTTTGCAGCTGGATACGCTCAGACGCTTGAGGTTGCAGAGTATTCTGCACCGCCTCGCCAACGAGGCTGAGGGCTGATGGCCGTTCGTACCCCCTCCTCGCTCGGCAGGGAAGTGATCTCACGGCGTTTCGAAACGAGAGAGCCAGCATGACGACATGACAGCGAACTTTTGGGGCAGTTTCAGAGTTCTGGACCGAACCCGAGGGCCGACTTGGCTGGTGCATCAGCGCAACAAATCAAGAATTACGGCCTTTTACTATCCTTCCTGGTAGCGTCAGCATCAGCAACAGCTGCCGTCAGCGGCAGTGCATGAATTTTTGACGAGAGATGAAAGCATGAGCCCCACTGCCAACCAACGATGCAGTCGCAGTTTGGAGGGGTTGCATGGTTAGCAGGGTGCCCTTTGTGTACGGATTTACTGCAACGACTCAGCACGGGACATGACGAGGTCAAAGGGCTGATTGATGGGCAGTCCGATGTGGGAGCCTTATTCATGCAAGGGGACGATCAAGAGTTGTCAAAAGGGAACGGATATTGGGCGCCAGAGACAAAGCACGAGCGAAGGGGGAGGAATCGCCAGAAAATGGTCGTCTACACTCTATAGTCGTCAATCATGACACCTACATGATTAAGATGTCACCAAATTCCCAAGTGTAACCTGCCATTCCGTTCCCGTCGGGGCATGGACATGAACGGACATTCCGCAATTGGCATTAATTTAAACAACCAGTCAATTTGGACCAAGAGGAAGAAACATGACTTTGTTTAATCAAAACGGTTGCGGCCCGCAAATAAAAGAGAATGTAAAAGAAATGGCAGCAAATTAAGGCTCAAGCAACAGTTGTACAACCGTTCCCGTCTCTCCCTGCCATCTCGGTTGATGAGGCTTTCAACCGCAAGGAGAGTGCTAGAACAGAAAATGGGGTGGAGCAGTGTCGGCCCCCGTATGGAGTACCTAGGTAAAGCCCAAATTGGGTTGCTTCACCCAATCGCCCGACGCCGTTTTGTTAGGACCCGCCCGTTTGGGACACTGAAGGACCCCGGTCCACCGTTCCTCCCCAATCATTGTTATCACCCCCGAATTCCCACGAAAGCAAGGAGGCGCAGTTACCGTTCGCGTCGTCAATTTATTCGTGGAGGGAAACGGCATAGAAAGAAAAGGGCAGGTGTGTGGTGTCACGTAAGTCTGGTGGCTAAGGTGGCATGTGGGCGGGATTTCAGGCAGATGGGGTTCTCTCTCTGCCATCTTTGATTACTTTTGCGAACCCATACCCTTCAATTGTCTCTTCTTCCCTTCTCTTTGCTTTTCCTCTTGGTGGACTTATCGATATTCAATATTCCCCATTCGACTACGAACGGATATACCTCACCGAACCTGCAACAAGAGCCAACTACACCTTGACTTTTTCTGCCTCCCCAAAGCGCCGCGCTGCTACGAATAAGAGTTCCAAATCACCCTGTGCGAACACTCTATTTTTCCCAGATATAGTAGCCCGACATATGATCGTGCGCGGCCACCCACCACTCGCATTTCATCCCCCCTCCTGACGAACCTTTGGCACCTCGACGTCACACCTTTCAAACTCTCTAGCCCCCCCGCCGCGCTAAAGTAGCTTTTCCTTTCCTCACGCGGGGACTTTGCAACGCCTCGAGCACAACCTAAAAAGAAGCTTGTTCTATATCCCCCGCCACTTCAAACGTCCAAGTCGATTGCGTATCTAGAAATCGAACTTCCCACGGAACTGCACCGAGGATTACGAACAACCTCCCAGCTTCATCTTCACCGCACAACCGAGAAGAGCGTTTGAAACGAACAATACACCTAATCCCCTTCGCTAAAGCCATGAGCGCGACAATGACAATGACCGCCGCGCACCCGCCGCTAACACCGCCAACCCTCTCCCTCTCAACCGACCGCTCAGAGCAACATTCATGCCCCTCCTGCGGTGTCGTCCTCGAAGCGCCCCCCGCCCTCCTCGAAGCTCAGTCCCGCATCGCCGACCTCGAAGCCCAGGTCCGCCTCCTCAACCAAAAGGCCGCCGCCGCCGTCGACCGTTGGGCCGACTACGAAGACGAGCTCACACGTCTGCGCATTGCCGCCTCCCACCGAACCTCCTCCCCCGCCGCCTCTCCCGGTCTCGCCCCCGCGCTGCCTCTCGCTCCCAGTCCTTCGCCCACCCGCACCAGTTTTTTGAGCGGCGGCGCAAATAGGTTGTCACAGCTTCTCAGCCCGCGGGGCATGAAGTCCTCGCCGAACCTCCGCACGCCGTCACCGCCGCCTGACGGTCCCGCATCGACGGAGGATCTGCGGGAGGCGCTGGGAAGGGAGCAGAAGATGAGGATGGCTGCGGAGAGCAGGCTGAGCACGACGAGCCAGGAGGTGGAGGAGCTGAGCGTCAGTCTTTTCGAGCAGGCCAACGAGATGGTCGCGACGGAGCGGCGGGCGCGGGCAAAGCTCGAGGAGAGGGTCGAGACGCTGGAGAAGCGGGACAAGGATAAGCTGAGGCGGTTGGATCGGCTCGAGGGCGCCGTGGGCCGGATCGAGAGGGTGAGGTCGCTGTTGGGGGAGATGGATGCCAGGGACGAGAGTGTGAGGGAGGCGGCAGAGCAGAAGAGGGCTTCGCAGCCGTGACGGGAAGAGCCTCCTGGACTTTGGGAATCATGATGGAGTAGGAATGTACGATGCATAGCGGTACGATATCCGCGGGACTTTTTAATGACGATACGACACGAATTGCATATTGGGCGGGAAATACTGGGTAAACTTAACGAATCATCATGGCCTGGGAAAAAGTCCTACGGAGGAGGAAGAAGCAACACCGAAGCCCGCCCACAATAATCGAACCTGTGAGCTACAGTTGTAGGTAGCGCGGCACTTCAGGATTAGGGGTATAACCATCTCAAGCTTCTGGGCAAAAGTCCTGTTTTCAACTGACGGCAGGAAAGGAAGCAAATCGATTATTATACCTCTAGTATAGTACGTATTGACGAATACACAATGGGAATACCGGGGAGAGGTTGCACATGAGGTCACACGGCCTTCGGGTCCGGAGAACACAATTCAAACGACATGATTGAGCTGTTTTAACTGATGAACTTCGTCACCTTCTTATTTATAAGGGCAAATGGGCAAGTCGAAATGAAGTGTCCAACTGTCGGGTCACCCCTCGATCTGCAATGCTTTTCTGGGTCATGCTAAATGAAGCCTCCGTACGCCGTGCCCTTTTCCCAGGCCGTAGCCTCACAAACTAAAATGTTCTCATCACGAAGAAGCCCTTGTGTCTCTGTGTACGTTGTGTCTCGTCTACCTTATGCGATGCTCAAGCTTTAGTCTTGAATACCTTCCCATACGTCATCAAACTTCTTTTTGTTAGCTGACTTCGCCTTGGGAGAAGTTTTGGGAGAACCTTTGGGTGACGCCTTGGGTGACGCCTTAGGTGATGCCTTGGGAGACTTCTTGGGTGAAGACTCCTTGACATCGCTAGCCTGCTCCGACTTGACCACCTTGGCGGCGGGCGCCTCGTCTCCCGAGCTGGAGTTTCTCCTCTTCTTGGACGCGTTGTCGTTTTTCTCGAAGCTCTTGTTCTCCCACTTGCGCTTCCTGTCATCCTTGCGGCCGTGGTTCTGCTGCTGCTTCTGCTGACCTTGGGCATTCTGTCGCTCGCGTTGCGACTGCGGTGCTCCGTTGGGGTACTTCTCGGTCCATTCAGACAATGCCTTGGCGACCTTGGGTCCCCAGACCTCCTCTCCCTTGAGAACGTCATCGTACTCTAAGCAGCTATCAGTGCGGACCTCGAAGTCGCCCTGTCGGGATCGCTCAAGCTCGGCCATCATGCCCGCAGAGTCGACCTTGGCACCCAGATCATGGCAGAAGCTGCGAACATAGAAGCCAGACGTGACCTTCATGCGGATCCTAGCAGCGGGCGGGCCCTTGTCGGTCCAAGGGAAGGGCTCATCCGCAGATGGAGGTGGCGGGATGAGGTTGGAGCCCTTGCCACCGGGGAGCTGTCCCAAAGCGCCAGACATCAGGGCCGGGTTCTTGGGCGGCTTCTGCTTCTTGGCAGGCTTGTCGCGGATAAGACCGTCCTGGCGCTCCTCAAACTTCTTCTTAACAGTCTCGTGCTCAGAGAGGGCTTTCTCTTCTTCCTTCTCCTCCTCGGGAGTGAGCCGGCGGCCGGAGCCCTGTTGCTTCTCCACTCGCCAGACCTGCTCAGCGAGGTTCTTCTCGGCCGTCTCAGCCTCTTCGGTAGGCCATCTGTAGTTGTGCGTTCCGGGCTCGTACCACTCGACCAATTCGAGCTCGGATACTTCGACATCGCGTCCCACGATTTCTCTAGGGATAGCCTTGCCCTCACGAGCGTACTCGTACAGCGGCTTTCCCTCCATCTTCAGTGCCGAGTACAGAGGCGGGATCTGCTCGAACTTGCCCCTGAAGCTGTCCATCGCCTTCTCGACCTTTTCTTTTGTGATCTCATCGTACGGCCGTCTGCTCAATATTCTACCGACGCGGTCGTAGGTGTCTGTGCTTGCGCCGAATAGTACCACCGTCTCGTAGGTCTTGGTGCAGTCGAGGAAGGAGCCGAGTGACTTGGTACCCGATCCGACACCCAGAATGAGCACGCCGGTCGCCAATGGGTCGAGTGTGCCTCCGTGGCCCATCTTTACGCGGGAGTCTTTCTTAACGGCTCGGCGGCGCTTCCACTCTTGCTTGGACTCCTGCATCTTGGCGGCAAGGTCTCTCTCGATCAAAGGCTTGAACATGGCTGAGGGGTTCATCTGTTGCTGGCAATCGCGGATCACCTGCGCAGAGCTCATGCCGTATGGCTTGTTGATGGCTGGGTTGGAGATACCACGGTCAGCGTTTGTCGAATCGCATCACACGCCTGGAGACGCCCAAAGAGCAACAATGGGAAGCATGGAGGCATCGCTTACCGAAGACGCCTTCGTACACGGTGTCTTTCGCCATCTTCCAGAGATTGGGCGTAATTCTCATTCGCCCGAAGTTAAGGATCTTGGGGGGTAAAAAGAGAGAAAGAAACGATGCGGCCGGTGGGGGTAGGTGCGACCTTCTCTTTAGCTTTTGCGCTTTCCGTGGATCTTGCGCTTCTCTGCATGCAGTTCTGGGAAATTTTTTTAGGAAGGGACGTTCCAGTGATTCCTATCGGCTTATCTATTGGTCCAGGAATGACAGAGCCCCTGTCTGCTGGACCCGTGGACTAGCAAGTCCCCTGTACCAGCGACGAGTCCCGCTACCTTTCTTCCCAGCTTCAGTGGGGGAGGAAGTCGTGGTCGCCTGCCCCGCATCAGTAACTGTACTTCATACGGTACGCAGGCACAACGTTCCGCGCGCTCTAGCTTTCTTTAATGGATTTGAGAACCGCGTTCGCGTGCTCCCTTCCCACCTACCCACACATCGTCGTTGTGGCCCGGCGCAACTTGCACTATCACCCGCAACATCTCATTCTTCCCCCACTGGGAAACGCATCCTAAGCCCGATGAACTTGCGCCTGGCACACATTTACGCCTCGTGCACCGAGAACCCCCACCCTCACTACCTCGAACGATTGCAGCTTTAAACAGGACAATGGCTGGACGGCGGCGACGAACGTCGGATTCGACGACTGGCACCGTCGAACCCGACAGACGGGCCTATGCTAAAGAACTTAGCATCCTCAAGAGATACGATCCTGTGGAGGGAGACATGCTACAGACATTTGTTCTTGAGGATGCCATCGTCTGCGACAAGAAGGGCAATCCCGTTGAGCTCTTTACCGTCAATACCCAGGGCCCATTCACTGTTCGAGGCCGCGTCGTCATCGACGGACCGCAGACGGCAAGAGGTCTGGCTTGATCCATGAATACCCATCGCCTCCAATCGCTTACATCACGCAGCCGTAAAACCTTCTACGAAATCAGCCTTGATCGAAACCCACGAATGCACTCGTTACGCTATCGGCGTTAGCGACAATGGCTATGGCGCATGGGCTGGGGGCGCGGCGGGATGGTACGAAATTCGACCACCATCAGCCGCCTACAAGGCGATATTCGACCACACAATCGAAGGAGTTTCGATCTACTACACGATTCTAGACATCATCGAGGAGCACGCTGCAGCCAATACGAACAAGAAGGGCCCCAAGAAGAAGGGTGTAGCAATGACCATTGAGACGTTGTTGTTCAAGGTGAGCCTGACGCTGAGAAGAATCCGGCGATCTATGCTGACGCGAGTGATAGTATGCAGTAGCCATGGGTGATGGTGCTACTCTTGAGGAGGTGGAACAGCGCTGCGACGATCATGCATCTTTCCTCATATCCCATTTCTATGAAGAGCCAGAATTCGAATGGACGCCGACGCTCTTTTTCAAGTGGATGACAGAGCGACACTCAGTATGTGTAGCTCCACCGAGCTTAGCTGGAGACCCAACTAATCATTTTAGGACATTCATAAGAAAGTCCTTGAGCTCAGGAAGAAGAAACTAGCGGGTGTTAAGCCTGGTCCATCGATACCAGAGAAGACCGAAGCTGTGGTGACGCCGACTGTTTCGGACGAGCCGTCCGCGCAGAAGGCGTTGTCGAAACGAAAGCAAAGGGGTACACCTGCCGACGATAGCCAGACCGATTCGCACGACTTTGCTGTCTCTGCAAGGGACATGAGGTCCAGATCAAGGGGCAAGACCAAGACGCAGTCGCCCCCCGCCCCCGAGCCTTTGGAGGAAGCCATGGCAGTGGACGAGACCCCAGAGGTTCCAAACCAAACTGAACTTGTCAGAACTGTCCATGACCGATCCAACGTGGATGCCCTCCTAGAAGCCATCGACGACATCAAACCCGAAGCTGAGCCGTTGAGTAAAGCAGCGTTCTCCAAAGTGTCATCAAAATTGTATTACAAGTACAAGGTCAAAGCCTACCTGGGAGCGGCAGACATTCTCAAGTACTATGCAAAAGAGCTGGTTGAACGCCTGGATCAGGATGAGTGGAGAGGGTCTGGTTTCTGGAAAACGCTCGAGGAATCTGCACAAGGTCCTCGCTTCTCTCTTGAGCACATTCAGCTTGAGCAAATTCCTGAGGCTTTAACACGGCGGAAGGCAAAGGAAGTATCAAATCCACGGAGTCGTTGGCCATCACTTCCTGAAGAGGCCCGCGGGAGCACGGATGTTGCAACTCCTCCTCCAAGACGTGTCGGTAGACCGGCTGGAAAGATGTCAGGCCTTCGGCTTGCGGGCACCAGTGGTAAGCGACGCTTTGACTCCGGGGACGAGACCCCAGAAAGTGTCTCCCGACAGGTCGCAAAGAGGTTCCATGCCGGTGACGCTTCTGACGAGGATGAAGTCATGAATGATGGCAGCAGCTCTGAAGATGACGATTCCAGTGTCGATTCTGCAGAATCGCCCACCGCATTAAAGGTCGTTGTGCGAGCAGAGAACATTCCAACAACAATACCTAAAGGACCTAATGGCACTTGGGTCTGTGACGAGGACGACTGCGGGTTTGTCGAACGAAATCCAGAATCAGAAGACGGACGTATAAGAATCAACGAGCACATGCAGAACGAACACTACCACGAAGACGAGAACCAGGTCCAGCGCATCAACTTGGCAGTGACGGAGGGTGACAAGAACCATCTCCCCATAGAGTATGCCTCCCCACTCTCCTCTCCTGAATTTAGATATGCTTGTGTTTCAGACGAGCCACTAGAAGTTTCTCCTTTTTGGGACACAAATCCAGAAAATGGTCCTCGTGGCAGGTCGAATCTAATGTAGACGACACAAACGAGAGCGATGTTTTTTCAGGCACCTAGGGCGACCTTGCAGCTGGTTCAGCTGCCCTTTGAGATGAGTTTTGCTAACAACTGTCCTAGTCACCTGCTCGAGAAGATCCGCCAAATGGGCCACAAGATCCAAGCGACGGAAGAGTTGGAGATCAATGAGACGGTCGTGCCTCAGCCCATCAAAAGACGGTTGCTCACTTGAATGGGCAATTGCTAGCGATGCTTCGACGTAGTCAGGGGTTGCTTACGGCGAGACAAGGTTCGAGGACAGAAACACAATTGGTTTATTTGCATGGACTTGGCGTTTAGGGGAGATTCAGCAGGCATCTTCAGCACGGCATAAGCTGATGGCGTTGGTTAGAGAGAGATCACACGGATTGGCTCATGACGATGACGTGCATTATTATCAGCCCAAGGTTTTGGCTTTGAGCGGCTGGCTTTCAAGTCACTTTTGTAGGAATCAAATGCCTTAATACCCAAAGCAGCTCTCCGTCTTGGCATACGAATGCTCCTGTGTACCATCGAAATAAGCAAGAGAATGTGAGAAACAGAGTCTCCCAGTGTTAGCTCAACACCCACCCAAAGTCACCCGCGTCATCGGCCAAGAGTACGCCATTGATATACCTCGGCCACTACTGACTTATAGGTAAAGTCTGCTTCCATTCATCTGATATAGGACAGCTAACCTACGGCTTTATGGAAATTGTAATGCAAACTTGATCTTTGTCTGGATCCAGCTTCGAGCCCTGCCGCACGCTCCAAACCCCCGAGGCTATACACGGACTGACAAATGTCTCATATTCCACCCCGGGAGCGCATAGTGCTCTCGTGGGGTCGCAGCTCGGCGTCTCTTATGCTGTCCAGTCCTTCGTCTGCTTTTGGTTCGCCAACGCCACGCTCCAAGGCCGGACATCTTCAGCCCTAAAACCGCCTCTGGTCCAGGTACTTGCTCGCTGTTGACCATACCGCCTTGTCAGCCGCCGGAACCTCCTTGTCGAGCGTCTGTACGCCCTTGTGGATGGCGTCGAAAAAGGCAAATGCAAGTTGAATATCCTCCTTGAAGTTGGTAGCGTAGGGGAAGAAGCTAGTGGGGAACTCCTCGATTTTGGCTTGTCGCAGCTCGATATCACCGACGGGAAGCTCGTCCATGAGTGTCTTGACCGCAATTCCCAGAGCGATGTCAGGGTTGTGGAGGAAGGGCAAACTGTGAGACCGATTAGTGGCTGAAATGATTGAGGTCAAACAAAGACACTTACGTCTGGCTGATTTGTAGGTAGTCGTTGCGATCTCTCTTTGACTGTGCGTATAGGAACATGGACGCCACAATTGCCTCAACGAGGTCGCGATCCGCCTCACGCACAGCAGTCGAAAGTGACCGGAAGAGGAGAAGGTTCTTGTTGAGCGGCCCGGTGTATCCATTAGACTCGTGTCGAAGTTTCAATAGGGAGGCACATCTGCTGATGAGAAGGATGCTCGCCTTCTCTTCGTCAGTACCGTTCATTGGCGCTCCATTAAGCTCTTCGTGTCGATGGCCTGAATTGAGCACATCGTGCCTGATGAGCTCGAACGCATTCAGGATCGCCTCAAATATGTTGAGACCTTCAGGTACCTGCAAGTCCTTGAGCGAATCCTTCATCGCCCAGATTGCGCTGGCAACGGCGTTACCCCAGTTCGTCAATGTGTGCGAATCATCGACGTAGCCGCGGAGATGGAGGAATCTCCAGATGGCGACCGCCGTGATATTCTGAACAGAATCAATGCCTCCAATACGCTTCTTCTCTTTGGGGAAGGTGCCTTTGACGAAATCATCGAACAGGAGTGCCAAAATCTCGAAAGCGATGGATCCAGGGGGTTCATCGACGCCTTCGGCGACAGTCTTGAAGGAGCTTTCCTTCACGTCCCATGTGGCGGCACGCTGAGATGGTGATGGCTGAAGAGACTTATTGATTTTATACGAGAAGTTGTCGTCGAACCAAACCTTCATGGTGATGGCGTTGTGCTGGAGACCACGGTGAAGTCTCGGTATCAGAAGCGCGATGCTCTGCTCCTTGAGAGGAACAAGTTGGCTAGTAACCAGTTTTCTATACTGTTCTGAGGCAACTCCATCCAGCGTAGGCGTGACGACGATTCGACTATGTGTTATATAGTCGAGGACGCGAGAGCCAATTAGACCAGTATTGAGGTAGTGGAACAATTCTCCGGGAAGCTGAAGACCAAGGTATTCGTGATTATCACTTGTGATGTGGTCAAAGTCGTTGACTTTGATCTCGCCTTCTTCGGATATATAGATGAAGTGGTTGACGGCCATCTTGGCTTGTCTGTACTTGTCCAGCCACTTGGGGTCCTTTGACTTCAGAATGTCGCCGTAGGAGCTGCAGGCTGATTGAACAGATTTTTCCGACGCTCTTAAGAGGTTGACAGCATCGTTGATCGTGAAAGGCTGGCGTGGGTTGAGTGAAGTGTCCAGCAGTGGTGGGAAGGGTGGTAGGAAGGAGGTTCCGGTCATGAGCAGAGCGTCGCTCAACATGCCTTCGCTGATGTTCAGTGACCGCACAAGATTCTTTTTGGATAACGATGTGACGGTCTTTGCCTCCCAATCTATCGTTCGAATGAGGGTGTCCTTGATCGGATACAGGATCAGCTCCTGCGAGCCCATGACAGCGGCGCATTGGTCTGAATCGATCATGTCGAAGTGGGCGAGCTAATAGCTCGTCAGCATCGAAAGTCTCGTCCTATTCAAGCTCGAACCTACCTGAGCGGAGGCATTATAGGGGGGGACAAGGAAGTGCAGGTCGTTGTCCTTCAGGATAGACTTGAGCAAGGGGTAGAGGTTCTGGATGCGAAAAGCGCCTGCAGTCTCATAGTCAGTGTGGCCCATCGGCATCACAGCGATGATGCGTACCGCTGTTGGCACCAAACGCGTCGACAGCTTCCTGTGCGTGGCTGTTGAAGTATAGCTTCCAAGCTTCGTCCGTCTTCTGGTTGGCAGTTCGGCCTCGCTGAACGGCGACCTCCTCTTGGCCGGTCACCGACTGTCCATCAAAGATGAAGAACGGTACGATCTTGTGTGCCTTCCATTGGTCGATATCAGCTCGGAGATGGTGCTCAATGCCAGTCATGCCACCCAGAGCGGGCAGGAGAGGTTCGTGGAAAGGAGGGGTGTCGAGGAAGAGTTGGAGGTAGTATGTCGCGTCAATGGCTATCGCGCAGTCTTCGAGCTCGGAGACATCGTGACTCCTGCCCAAATGATTTAGTTAAAAGGAATCTCAACGTTGAAACCCTGTTCGACTTACGTTGCCTGGCCATTGATCCAAGCGTCCTCCACAAGACCTGTCATATCGAGTCAGTAAATCTCATGGTACAAATCGCAGAGCGTAGCCCGGCGGTTGTGAAGCGCAGGAGTGAGAAGAGGCTGATGTGCCCGGCCGGAACCGTCCTGCCCGCCGTTCCTTCCTGGTGTGGTGAGGTGTGCTGTTCCCAGAAAGCCGAAATAGCCTTCTTTTTGACGGGTGTAGCTCGAAAGGTTCGATGCCAATGCTCAGGCAGAGTCTTGATGCTTCTCGACAGGCGAAGCTACGACGTATGTGGGTGTGTAGAGCTTCCAGACAGGTACGGCGGAATCGGATGTTTTGGGGCGCAGGAAGCGGGTATGACGCAGGTAGCCTTGAAGACATGTGACGGCGAGGCGAGGATCGGGAAGAAAGAGATCGGAGAGCAGAGCAGAGGACCAGCGCATCGCGGGGTTGGGATTTCGGAGAGGCGAGAGAGAGGAGGAAGACTCACAAGGCATCTTGTCGGGCCTTGCGCAACGGCGAGGAGCTCGTCAGCTCGAGTTGACAACAAGCCGTTTGGAGGTGGGAAGCGGGTGGAGCTTGGGTCGCGAGACCACTCAGGGGAGCGGAAGCAAAGAGACTGGGCGCTTTGTAGAAGAAGTCGGAATAACTTGCAAAGGAATGGCTGAGCTTGTCATGAAAAAGGGAACGGCCGTCTGCAGGGCCAATGACACTGACAAGCGTGTCTCAAAAGAAGAGGGGAGCTTTTGGAAAAGAACGCTGGCGCTGGCGGAGGGGAGGTAATTGGAAAGTTTGGGGGTTCAGGAACGCAGGTGCGAGGTACCGCACCGCTGTACAGGGGGAGCAAGTTGGCAACCCTTGGGTTTCGAGGCGCTAGGGAAGTTGTAGGGTTAGCGTGTGTGAGAGGTGGAAGGAACCTATGGAAGGGAAAAAGATGTGGGTGGTGTTTGTGGCGGTGCATGTGGCTTGCTGCTTCCACGACTGTCTGTCTCCCTGAGGTGATTTCCTCCCACGATGTTTCCAGTTTGAAGGTGCTAGTTTCCCTTCTGTCTACGCCTACAACGCATTGCCTTTCCTTCCGGTTACATATTTAGACGCCTGTGTCCATTCTGCATCTTACCTATCTACCTTAGGGTTACATAAGATATGGTAGTGCAACAACAATCATCGGCTGCACTATGCATATACAGAGGTTCTCTTAATTAATTTGACAACCTAAGCCTCAAGAGAAATACGCCCACCACCTCACGATTATAGGTACGATGTCAAGCAAGCATCTCCTACCAGCAGCACGGTGTCGGTCCAAGTTCCCGCCAACACGAGCCATCGCTCAAGCCACAGGCAGCATCAATTGACCGACCATGCAGCGGTTCCCGTCCCCGCTGCCCCCCGATCCCCGCTCTTTATATTCGCCTGTCCTCTGTGTCAGGGATGTGCGATGCAGCCATGTCTTGATCCCTCTTCTTCGCCGGCCCCTTGCATGTCTGCCCCCCGACAAACATCTTCAAATGACATTTCTCGGGAGCACAGCAAGCTTTCAGGTTACAGCTGCCATGGGATTTGCCGTCGCGTACTTCCATCATCTTCGCATACCCGGCCCCTACCATGCGACTATGGAGTTGCCCAATTTGAGCCTTCACAACTGGTCACTAGTATTTATTCACCTCCCGCATATACGTTCAATGGCGTCTTCATATCTCAAACACCCGCAGCTGGCTACCTATTCATACGGAATATCCAAGGACTAGATGATAGGAATTGTTTGTATCAGCCTCCGTCTGTCTGTTCTTCATCCGAAAGCACGTGGCCAAGCCTACTAGCAATCTACCAAGAGCACACGATGGCGCAAGTGCGATTATACGGCCTGAACCCTGCTCAATTGACAACCTGGCCCTGGTGCATGCGGAGGTTCCTTCAAGCAGAGCAATACCAACATCAACACTCCGAGTAGACGGGCTCTGTTCACTTCATCTATTGTAAGCTTGGACTACATGCTATTCGCTCTGTCGGCCTAGTCTGACCGTTGGATTCCGTGGCGTTGGGGAACGTTTGCTAGCTGACAAGCTCTTGTCAAGTTTGAGCTTCGCTACTTGAATATTACCTTCTCCATTCCAATACCCGAACATCCACTGTCCCCCTCAGTAGACAGGTTACACATCCGACGAGTGCAACACGACACCTCAGGACCCGTCAACCTCTCGTGATACCAAATCTGACCACGGATATCCCGCTACCTCGGCCCTCTCCGCCCTTCGGTCGCTATCAAACGCTTCGTAATAGTCATTACCCAAGTCGTTGCCCCGGTCCCAAGCGGTCCCGTCCGCCCCTCCATTATCCCAGTCTTATCGCTTATCGCATCCCACTTCGCGCGACTTCGGTTGAATCTCGCCCCTCCAACCCTCCATTCTAATAAGTCAGCTCCGGCCGCCTCCCTTTCGTAGTACTTTGTCTGACCTACCGCACCGTGAATTCACAAATAGACGGAGACAAATACACCATGGCGCCAAAGGCTAATATTCCAATTATTGACATTGCCGCGGAGGGTGTCGACAGGACCGCCATTGCGCGCCAACTTGTCGATGCCGCCGTCGAACATGGCTTCATTTATATCCGCAACACGGGCAAGTACATTGCGCTAAGTGACCAAGAGTCGGCATTTGATCTGGTATGGCCCAACTTGAAATGGAACCTCTTTCCAGAGCAATTCAAATGACAACAGTAAACAGTCCAAAAAGTTATTCAAGGCACCGGTCGAGGAGAAGGCCGCCTGCACCATCCAGAAGAACAACCGCGGCTGGTCTGGTATGCACTCTGAGACTCTCGACCCCAAGAACCAAAAGGTATGGCTGATCCTACCCAAACCTGGGGAATATGAAGATGTTGACTTTTTCATAGGTTGGCGATTACAAGGAGTAAGGTCAAAGGGTCTTTGAGCTTCTTTACATTTTGGCTTACACACCATTCAGGGCCTTCAACTTTGGCGAGTTCAAGGATGGCAGGGCCCAGCAACCTCTGCCTCCCACCATTCAATCAGATGAGCCCTTCCTGAACTCGTTCAGAGATCAGTGCCACACCCTCTGCCTGGAACTCCTCGAGCTTCTCGGCATTGGCCTCGATGTATTTTCTCCTCCCCCTTTCCTCCAGCTACCCTCTCTCCACGAGCAGCTCACTAAACTTGTCATCAGGTCAACCCCACAGACTTCTTCTCGTCCGCCCACCTCCGCTCAAAGGGCGACTCGGGCACGATCCTCCGCATGCTCTACTACCCGCCCACCTCAGACACCTCCTCCAATCCAGACGACGTCCGCGCCGGAGCCCACTCCGACTACGGCTCCGTCACCCTTCTCTTCCGCCTCCGCGGCCAGGCGGGGCTCGAGATCCTCACCCGCAAGAACACCTGGGCCCCCGTCCCCGTCACGCCGCCCGGCACCGAAGCCGACCCCTTGCCTCCCATCCTCATCAACATCGGCGACCTCCTCAGCTACTGGACCAACGGCCTGTTCCGGAGCACCGTCCACCGCGTCGTGTTTGGCGGGGAGGGCGCCGAGGGCGAGACGGACACCGGGCCGAGGTACTCCATGGCCTTCTTCTGTCACCCCGTGGGCTCCGTGGCGTTGGATCCCGTGCCGAGCGATAGGGTGAAGGAGTTTGTCGCGCCCGAGGGGACGCCGAACGCGAATCCCTACGCGGGGCGTAAGGTCATGACTGCTGATGATCATTTGTTCATGAGGCTGAGGGAGAGTTATAAGGGACTGTACAAGGAGGAGGAGACCAAGGCATGAGTTGTAACAATTGGACAAGCCGAAATTCTCAATGGTTGTATGCATTCGTGAAACGACCATGAACGCCGTGACGTGTAGTATCCCTGGCCACGCTATGCAAAGTACAGACATAATCATCCCCATTCCCAAAGTCAACATCCGGAGAAAAACAAAAACAAAAGGACACTCTGCTAAGCCAATCCAACCCACCACTTCCGCTTGGGATCCGGCTGCTCCTTGGACGGCTTTAACCCCTTGAGCGTCTTCTCCAACGCCGTGACGTCCTCCAAAAGGCGCCAGTCGTACACCTCAACGTACTCGCGCCTGCCATTCGGCGTGCAAACCGGATTATCGTTCAGACATTTCAACAAGGTCTTTGTTGCTTCCCTGCGGTTGTGTTCGACGAAGCAGATTTTTCGGGGTCGTTTTCTTCTGGGGCGGTCTGTGGCCGAGGTAGATGCGGGTGTCGATGACAGGGATGCTGCTGCTGCTGATGATGTTGATGCGGTCATGACGGAGGATGCTATCCAGTCTTGCGGATCCGCGGTCCATTCGTGGATACCGTGAAGAGGGAGAAGATTTTCGGTGACCCAGGGTTGTTGGGCGATGCAGGGCGCGAGTAAGACGGTCGTATCTGCAAAGAGACAATTGTCGCCTGCGTGTTGGCACTTGGGCTTCGCTTGTGTAGACGAAGGTCCTGGCGCGCTCTGACGACGCGGCTGAGGTATTTCTGCGACAGATCCTTCCATCGCTTTGCCCGGCTCATGTAAAGCAGCAATGGCTGAACTAGGCGCTGTCTGGTCCACCACGATGTGCTTTGCTGTCGCTGGCCGTGTTTGGGACGCCTGAGGAGAGAGAGACATCTGATTGGCACTGATATCCTCGAGCGGTCGACGGGTTGGCGGAGGCAGCTCTCGACCGGCGGTGCCAGATTCGGAAGAAACCCTCGGTCGTTTCTGCGGAGTAGCGTCTTCCCTCTCTGGACCTCTTTTGCTGGCCCTCGGCGAATTTGCTGCTTCGCTGGCAGTCTTGTCTTCAGCGATGAAGTCCATTTCTGCTGCCTTGGCTGATGAGGTTGGAGGAGTGATGAGAGTTGGCTCTGGGGCTTCTACCAATGCCGGTAACCGCTGGAGAGGCTTGGCAGGGCTTACGGAAAAATTCGGCGCTGGCGAGGTTGAAGGCCGTACGGAAGAAGTGCGAGATGGCGTCATGAGAGAGCCCGTTGTGGACTGGCTGATAGCATCAACGGGAACACCACGAGGGTCCGCTCTTTCCAGTTTAGCAATCCAGTCCAGCATTTCCTGACTGTCTTCCATGGCCGGAGTGGTGGTTGCTTCTTCAGCCACGGCCTGCAATTCAGAGAAAGAGATTGTGTCCATGAGGGATCGGTCAAAGTGTACCTTGGACACCTGAGGGAACCTCGGCTGCCAGAAGTTGGTGTTTCCCTCCTTATCAAATGAGAAACAGCGGACATCAAAGACCAGCGGTTCGGTGAAGACAACGGTGGGCATCTTTTGTTGAGCGATGCCTGGTGCGAGATGAAGGATCAAGGCATCATTGTCATCAAAAGACACTGGCATCGGGTTTCCGTAAATCGAGACGGTCTTGAGGAGGGTCTCGTTGAGTTCCACCTGGTGAACCACTGTGAACACAGGCCGTGCCTGGCACCTCTCTACATCCTCCTTATTCTCGAGGCAACCGAGGTAGAAGTGTGTCCACTTGAGGTTGGGAATGCTGTAGCACTTTGCCTTGTCTGCATCGTACCGCGCTGCAACCACAGCAAAGTCGCCCACATCACCAAAACCTCCGATGTACTCTTTCTTCAGCTTGACGGGGCAACCAGCAAAGGAGCGGCGACTCTCGCTGAAGTCGAAATAGGGGTCGTCTGGCTTCAGCACCAGGCCCTCCTCCCGGGCAGTGATGGACTCAGCAAAGGCTCGTCGGAGATAATGCACTCCCAGTCTATCATTGAGATCAATGACTTGGCGCTCCACAAGGTCGGCATGACCCTCTCGGCGGTTGATCAACTTCGTCAGTCGCTCGAACCTCTCATTCTGGCTGGCACCCAGCAGAGATTCCCCATCGATGAGTAAAACGTCGAAGTAGATAATCATCAAGTGTTCATGGTCGTAGCGCCTAGAAACATTAGCTGGGATCCGTCATGTTGGTTAGGCGGACAAAGCTCCCGTTAGCTAGACGCGCCGAGCGAAAAGAGGAGGGAGAAGCATTACAGGCAAGGAAAGAGATGGCTTAATGATGGGGTGTGGGCTGATGTTCCCGGAAAGGTTGACTTACTGCGAATCCGCTTCCGTGTTGAGATAGCTACCTGACCTCGTAACGTATTTTCGTATCTTATGGAACGGCAGAATCTTCTTCTCCTATTCATCTTGTCAGTTTTTGGACATTGTGCTGATGCGATGGAGCATACCAAGTCACTGTAGACGACGAGCTCGCCCTCAAGGATACATCCCTTGGAGAGCTTGCAGCTCGTTCTCCCAATGTTGAGAGAGTCGCGTATAGCTCTGCTCTCATCAGTAAATGGCAAATGTGTGGTAAAGTGATGTTGAAGACTCACCCGTGTAACGCAGCGCGGTCTTTGGTGCTGTCCTTGCCACTTTTGGAGAAGATTTGGATGCATTTGAACCCCTTGCTCAAATCTATGTGAACCTGGCAGTATTCGCCGTCTATTTTCTTCTCACAACTCATGCGGCCTTGGATAAGCTTCATGCAGTGTTTTATGCTCCTCCCTTTCAGCCAGAACGGTCTTCCAACCTTGGTGCCCAAGACGGGCGTCAGGTGTTGTATTAGATCTCTCCACTTCTGATTTCCCGTGGCATTACGGAATGAGGGCTCTTTCCCCAGCTTTCTGAGGAGAGACAAGGCCGCATCAAAATTGTCCTGAACTCTGAGTATCATGGGTAGTAGGGGGTCGTAACAATGATAGAGATGGCAAGGATCCAGCATGACTGGCTGGAAGTTCTTCAGTATCAGGCGGGTGAGCCATTTGGCCTCTCGCGCCTGTAGGCGAAGGTATAAGTGACCGAGGAGTTCTTGCCGATTGTTGCTGCTGGAATAGGGCTGCGAGGCCCGAACAACGGGCGAGCTGAACCTACACAAGGCAGCGAGGTTGTTGAGGGTTGAATCTATTTCTTCAACAGTTACAGCATCTTTTCCGATGCAGATAGGGGGAGGCTAACAGTGATGTCAGCATGGGCAGATCGTCTTATTGCTTCCTCATCCATGAGCTGGGAAAAGCTCCTCAGTCCCAATCTGTAACGCGGCCAATAACTCACCGTTTCCTTGAAGATTCTCTCAACACAGTCAGCCAGATCCTCGCCGCGACCGGCCTCTTTGTATCGACGCAATTCTTGGAGACGTGACGTTCCGAGACCAAATGTGCGACCAACGATGTTGGCCAGCGTGTCGGCCTGGATGCAGTATACACGATCGGTGCGCTTATCCGGGAGGAGAGTAGAGAGCAGAGCAGAGGCATCTGTTCCCGGGTCGTCGATATGTTGGCGGTGCAGCGTGAACCAGTTCGATACACGTTGCTTTAGATTTTTATCGCCGGTTTTACACTGTTTGTGAGCCTGCTCCAGAAGATCGCAGACGAGAACAAAGGGAAGAGGCATCGTGACGGCTTCGTAGCTCTAGCATGGCCGCGAAGGGTGGTTTTAGTCGTCAGAGAGTTACTTGAGATATTGTAGATGAATCGATCAAGTTGTTCTTCCGAGAGAAAGCGTCTTAGGTTCACGTCACCGAGGGGCCAAAAGCATGGTAGGCACCAGTGGATGAATGATGGATGAAGGGCAGTTCAACAGTGAACCGTGATGATGCCTAAGGTGAAGTGCTACCGTCTTTTGCTGTCTTCCTGTTCCGTCACCGCTTCCAGTTGGCTCCTGTGCCTCTTGCGAGCGTCATGCAGATGTTGACCACTGCGGGAAGGTCGCGTCACGCGTCTCAATTAGTGGTGGTGCGGTCTCACGTGTGGGCGTGCGTTTGCGTAGTGGAGGGAGGGCACCTCAGAATGGACGGATTTAGAAGTCCACCTCAGTGACATGCATCAGACCCAGACTGGCGGCTCAAAAGGTGGGTGAAAGTCAATCAAGTGCATCCGTAATTAGTGGTGTGATTATGCAACGATGTTCCACCCTTAGTTTACCCGTAGTGCATGCACAAATGGGGGTCCGAGTAGATGCATAAATGGGCAGGTTCTGGAAAGTCGAAAGGAGCAGTCACGTGGGTCTCTGAGAAGAGTCGGGGAAACAAAGTGCGGCTGTGATTGGCTGCTAATTTCCAAGGAAATTGTCAGATTGGGGAGTCCCCACACAGGCCACGGTTCATCCCAGCTCTTTCCTGCGGACCCTTGCCGGGACCTGCACACCTGCACACCAGCACTCTTTCATAGTATTTTGTACCGTACGCAGTAGTTTTCTTGGAGATCTGCTATTAGCTGATGCCTCGGGCCCTTTTTCCAAGACTTTCCCGTCCGGCGCCGCCGTCAGTCCGCCGCCCATCTTTCGAGCCTGTTGCCCGGCCGCCCATCGGTTCCTGACAGGTTCTTGACTCCTGCTGCGGCTTGTTGCAGCGTCGCTGCGTCTTTACAGGTTCCTTGCAGACGATGGTGTCGCACGCTTGCTGCATTTGCTGCAAGCCCCTGAATAACGTCTGTCCTAGTGGATCGCCACGCCTGCAAACCCAAGCCTTGGCCCACTGGTTTCCGTGTGAGCGTGGACGATGGTTTCGTTTCGTCTTGTTGATCTGACGAGGCGTCCATCAAAACAATGGAAAAGCGCATGTGCGATGCCAGATCCAAGGTCGAGAACAATGGCCCAGAAGAGAGCGGAGGAGGATGATGCCTGTTTATCCAGAGACCTTACGCAGTAGTACCTGTTAGCTTGGCTGTCACTGTCAACAGGGACGATGGATGTAGAGTAAACATTGCACTGGAGAAAGAAAGAGAGAAAAAGAGGCCCAGACTAAAACAAAGGCAATGCGTTTTACGGATACCACTCTCAAGAACACCACCACCCGTCCACGGCTCCGTCATCAACGGCTCAAGGTCAGACCACATGCTCCGGTTCCCATCCCAACAACCAGGGACGTAGCCAACAAAAGAGTCAACTGACCTACTGCCGCTGCTGCCATCGCATTGCATCTACCCGACTATCAAATTTGAAGGTGCCCTACTAGTCACAGTTCTTCTTCTCTTACTCGTCCATTGCCAACTTCATTCTTTCATCCCACCATTTTCATATCTCTCACACACCCTCCTCCTCCTCCATTGGTTCGATCTCACCGCCGCTGTTCGCTCCTGCCGCTGTCAATACTCTCGCCATTGCTTCTTCTCTGCCAGCCTTCATCCAAACACCTCCTCACCTCATCTCAACCTTACCTTACCCAACCTTGCTCCTCTACCTTACGGATACCAATTACATAGCATACGACGACGGGTACCTTACCTCATACTTTGGGTCCAGACATCGGTCTCCCTGTTCCCCTTGTACGATCCCAGGTCAACAACACGTCTTCTATCAACAAGGCATCAACAAGCAAGCATCAAGCAATTCGAGCAGCATTGACAGCACAGAGCCACAGTACAGGGCCTCGCCCATAGCCGCATCCTCTTTTCGACCTCGCTTGGTCGTCACAATCTCTACATCAACACACGTTTCCCCATTTTCAGTCCTTGTTCCTCATCCAACTGGGAATCTGTGCCCGAATCCGTCATTCAAACCCATCCAAGGTTCTCGACGAAGCGAAGACAGGCGAGATCAAAAGTTTCCACTGGACCACTGCAGCAACGCAACTCCCTGACTACCGAGCTTTCCCACCCGGTAGCTTCTACTCCACAACCTAGGAGTCAGTCACACACCTAGCACTGCAGTGACAGAGCAAGATTGAAAGAGGTCGAGGCCCGCCCCTATCTACCGCAGTACAGCAAAATACCCTCGTCCGCCACGCCAGCTCGGCCAATCTCGCTATCCAATCGTCGCCCCCGTTGCGCTGCAACCCTGATTCAACGGCCCCCTACCAGACCCAGACCGCAGACCCAGAGAGGAGTTCCTTCAAGTCCCCAGCCCACGCAATCCGACTACCCTTACTGGCAGTCTGCCACTACGGAGCACCAACTGGATCTCCTGCTTAGGTTCCTGAACCTGGATCCCCCCCGACCCCCGAACTTTCAATTCTCTCCGGGCCGCCCTCTAATCGCTGCACTTTGTGGCTATCTGCCCGGTCCATTCACTCTCTTGCTGAGCCTGTGCCTGTGCCTGCACAACAACAAACACGCACACCTTCGGGCTGTCAATAATGACCCTCTTTCCACTCTACTCATGACAGCCATTTTTTTGCTACAAATCTGCTTCATCTCTGCTTGCTCACGCACTCTCTTATATGACCACCAGAGACACTTGAATTCCTACAAGGCTGTCGTTGCCAAAAGAACGAATAACGCTCACTCCTCCGCCGTCTGGAGACAGCGGCATACTCGGCGACCCATCACCGCCTCTCCCTCGCATTCTTCGCCTAAACGCCGTCGAGCATACACCACCGCCGCCGATCGCCAATCCTTGCACGAGGCGTCCACCGCGCACTTTGCTCGCGCTGAGATGCAGAGCACTCACGAGATCATACGCCGTCGTGCCTCTGTGGTTGAGCGTCCGCCGGCGGACCCCCCGGCCACCACGACCACCACGGCTTTTACACCACAACCTGCCGTCACCCCGAGATCTTCATATTTCAAGCCTTCAGAAGCCCAACTCGAGACTCTGATCGGAGAGATGGAGACCCTAGAGGCTGTGACGCCTCCTCCGCCTACTCCCTCAACCCAAGAACGTTTCTCGCGCGCGTCACGTTCAGAGTCGAACGCATCGCGTAACACGAACCGACTCTCACTCACCCTTCCTATTGCACCACCAACCAGCGATCCTTCTCGCCCAGCTTCCGTCGCGACGACATCATATCCCCCGACGCCTGTCGACAGCTCGACCATCACATCACCTTCAGACCCCAATGACTTCATCATTGCGATAGCAGCGCAAGAGCGACGTGTCTTGGAGATTCGCGAAGAACTGGCTCGCGCGGAGGGTGAACTGACGAGACTGAAGCAGCAGTGGACTATCCAAGGCGGTCAACGAAAGAGAGAGATTCGCAATGAGCCAATGCGTCCACTGGCGCCTCAATTTGAGCCATCCTTATTGGACGATGACGAGGCAGGCTTAAAGAGGAGTGTCGAACTGGATCGGAGGAAATCGCTTTTGAGAGATTTGCAGGGACAAACCGGACCCAGAGAATATAGACGAAGAGTCCTCCGTGGCGGGCACACGAGGACGCTATCGCTGCTGTCACCAACCAAGCCGGAGGGTTTTGCTGTGCATGAGGATACCGCCAGTCTGAAATCGCCAGAAATCCGGTCTCCGCCCATGCTTTCTCATGCTGCTCTTTCCAAGAGAGCATCCTGGCAGCCGCGCTCATACAACACCGCCGTCCCCCCTGTCGCAAAGCAAATGGCACAGGACTTTAAGCTAGGTCTGTGGAGCTTCGTGGAGGATATCAGACAAGCCACTGTCGGCGATGAGCCCATCAATGGTGGACGTTCAGGCTCGACGGACCCCCATGGCAGGAGATCGTATGCTGCAGACCAGGACACCATCAAGGCCAACAGCTCTTCTCGTACCAGGGTCCCGGTGAACTCTGCCTTTGACTTGCCGCCTATGGACACGCCTAGCAAGCCGTCGAAAGCGTTGCAAGAAAGACCGAACCCTAAGCCCGCGACCAAGTCCACAACGACCAAGGCCAAGCACTTCTCATGGACTCCGCTGACTTTCGACTCCTTTGATGATAACGACTGGTCTAACTGGGACTCACCCCAGCCGTCCTCGGCCAAACCAGCACGCTGGAGTGGATCGACCGTTGGTGGAGCAGAGGACCTTGCGTCAATGGCCGAGACCAACGACGAGAATGTGACTCCACTGTAAGAGCCTCGCTAATGATGTTTTGCCACTCTCGAGATATACTAAGACATGTGTGTGAACAGTAAGAAGAAGTCGTCGATCACCATTGACACATCCGCTGCTCGACCCGAGCCTCGACCTGAGTCAGCCCTACTATCTCCCGCTAGGCTGGAGGAGCTTCTGCCAACCGTCGTCAACAAGCTGTCGCCCGGCAATCTGAAGCGAACAGCCAACAACCTCATGGACGAATGGGAGAAGAGCCTCAAGGAGACTGACCAAGAGGAGCAGCTCATCGACTTCAAGGAGACCACGGCTTGAGCTACGTCTACGGGTCGCAATCATCACGACGAAAACACACAAGAATCGGCATGCTAGCATTGCAACGAAAAAGCCGACGCTGCACATACACGACCTCATCGCATTGATTACAGTATAGATAAAAGTACAAAAAACTGGACCGAACTGCACAAAGCGGCCAGATGAGATGAGCGGACAGGTTTTCTCCGCTGAACATAGAATACCCACTGGAGGCCAGAGCAGAGCCTCGGGGGAGTTGTGGAGAGGAAGAGAGCAGCGATGATGCTGTTCAGATATCGGCAAGTCAAGAAGGACGTGCATGGATAATCAGAGCTGCCGTGAAAGGAGCTCATATCGACGTATGTCTGGGTGCGCGGTCTGGCAGTCATTTCATGATGAATGACCTGTTGGATATTGGCAATGGCATAATGACGATACTAATGAATGTACGAACGTTAAGTTTTCGTGCTTTGGGATGGGATCAAAACATTGGCGTACGATACTGTTGGACCTTGTTGCTAAGAAACTCTCAGGCCTTGTCTACTTGCGACATGGTGACAATACGGGAGTTGCAGCTTCGGGAATGACTTGCTTAGACGTATTTAGTTAGACTTAGTGTTAAATGTTTATGATTCGATGGTCAATCCGTTTAGTCCAAGTGATGATGGTGCCTCACCATGTAATACCTTATGTCGTAAATGACTTCACTTCAGAAGTCGTCCATTGCCTATCTAACCATTGCAGTCTGTTTTTTGCATCTATAAAATGGCATCTCCTCTTGTGTGCTCTAGAGAAATAGGAACATGAGCTTGAAGAAGTATGTCAAGTTGTGCAATTGCGTACGCGGTGAACGAGTTCGCAAAGGTGATATCCAAGCAAGGGATGCCTGCGATAGGTGCCGTCTCGGGGCCAACGGTGCGGAGAACAAGCTGTGTCTTAGAAGTAGCTATCCTGGTCGTGGCAGTGCAGCTCCCTCAGGCTCATAGCAACCCAAAGTGGCCGGTGAAACTTTGCTTGACGACTACTGGCCTGCCGCTCCATGTTGAACCGAACTCGTGTTAAACCATTTTCCGAGAGCGAAAAACATACCATTATGGGCCATTTCAAGAACACCACGGAAAGAGGATACACTCCCAAGCATTGTGTACGGCCAGAGACGTGACAAGAGATCCTGGATTATAAAGTGTATGCAAGTCGCATTCCATCCTCGGCTTCGGGTGTGACCGTGACTGGTTGACTTGCTTGTTTATGGAAAGCAAGATGGCGCCGGTGACAGTTGGCCTCCAGTATCAACGCCAAATCCGCCGGCTGTCTCATCGCCGATTGGCACTCCCCATCATGGTGGAAAAGATGATTGGCAAGGTCGATGGAAACCGCTTATCTCTGGTAGTTTGGCTGCTCGAAAGGTTCTCTGAAAGTGAGGGCCCTCGAGCCCTGAGTACAAAAGCCGACGAAGCTAGGATGTGCAACGTTTGTTCTCGCATACTTATCTGATCATGGTTACTTGTCTTGAGGTCAAACGTCTCAAGCGCGTTACTCGGGTTCATTTCAATTCGACACGAAAAGCATCTGGTCTACATGTAAGGTCCGCGCTTGCCGTGGTGAAGAGCAGCAGTCTCAAAGCCTAAGGCAGCGAACAATTGGTAAAGTGTGCTGGCAGCGTTATCGACAACTCGGCAAAGGCCAATGTTCCTTACCTTAGTTGATGCCCAGATCAGCAAGGGAACAAGCCGAGAAGGCTATCGGGCCCTGGAGCAGGCCGAAGCTTCCCCCGATCTCGGCAGGTGGGGTGTGGGGTTGAGGGGAGGGTTCTCCAGGGCACTTAGCAGGGCGGGGCACTACTTACATTTGCCAGCGAAAGCAGGCCATTCCGGACGAATAACTCGTCCCCGACTTCGCTCAGCTATATATCTCGTCGAACTTTCTTCAGTTACCTCACTTTCTCTTCCAACTACCCCTCCTACGATACCCCTCATTCATAAAAGTATTGCAAACATGGCGGAACACAACATTGTTGTCTTTGCGGGCGACCACTGCGGCCCAGAGGTGACTGACACCCCGGGGCTTTCCCACTCTTGACTCTGAATGGAGAGAGGCTGACTTTGGTTATTCAACAGGTCATTGCTGAGGCAATCAAGGTACGAGGCCGGTTATTGCGACTTGAAATTGAGCTCGTCTGACGCAGTATACAGGTCATCAAGACAGTCGAGAAGCTGAGCCCGACTGCTGGCAAGTTCAATCTGCAGGACCACCTGCTTGGAGGGGTAAAACATCCCCCGATGACGGATCACACGGGCCCAAAGAACATCCACGAGAGAAACTTATTGCTAATCTCGGCGTTTCTCCCCAGTGCTCCATCGAGCAGACCGGCTCCCCCCTCACCGACGAGGCCCTCGCTGCCGCCAAAGCCGCCGATGCCGTGCTTCTCGGCGCCATCGGTGGCCCCGAATGGGGCACCGGCGCCGTCCGCCCGGAGCAGGGTCTCCTGAAGCTGCGCAGTGAGATGTGCGCCTACGGCAACCTCCGTCCCTGCTTCTTCGCGTCCGACGCCCTCGTCGAGTCATCCCCTCTGAAGGCGTCCGTCTGCCGCGGCACCGACATGATTATCGTTCGCGAGTTGACTTCGGGCCTGTATTTCGGAGAGCGAAAGGAGTACGATGGAACCAATGCGTTCGACACTACCGTTTACACGAAACCAGAGATTGAGCGTATCGCGCGCTTGGGCGGTATCCTGGCCAGGAAAAGGGGAGATTCGCGGGTTATCTCGCTCGACAAGGCAAACGTGCTGGCGACGAGCAGACTCTGGCGTACTGTCGTCGATGAGGTCTACAAGAACGAGTTCCCTGATCTCAAGGTTGAGCACCAGCTTATCGACAGCGCCGCCATGATCATGGTCAAGAACCCGACGCATCTGAATGGCGTCCTGTTGGCGCCTAACTTGGCTGGTGAGCAAGGCTCCTCGCCCACCTCGAAGGCGGTGTAGCTGATGAATTCATAGGCGATATCCTTAGCGACGAGGCGAGCGCCATCACTGGAAGCATAGGACTCCTCCCCAGCGCAAGTCTCTGCGGAGTGGGCACCGCGGTGCCATCTATTTGCGAACCTATTCACGGTAAGTCTGAATGCTTTTTCAAGCCCTCATAGAGACATCAGTCGCTAACGCAGATGACAGGGAGCGCGCCGGACATTTCAGGCAAGGGTATTGTGGTACGTCAGGATCCCATTTTGGGCGATTCCCATCCATTTTTTGCAATTACAGAGCTGACATCGTTTCCAGAACCCCATTGGCACCATCCTTTCCGTGGCCATGATGTTCCGGTACTCTCTGAACCTCGGCCACGAGGCCAAGCTCGTCGAGGACGCGGTTCGCGTCGCCATCGATGCCGGGTTGAGAACCAAGGATATGGGCGGCAACACGAGCACCGCCGAGGCAGGAGATCTCATCGTTGCTGAGCTGTCCAAGATTCTCAAGGCGTGAGATGTCTCTTGCAGAAAGGAAAACTGAGAGGGAGGTTGACAAAGGAAACGGGAAAATCGGGGAGAGGGTGGAAGAAACTGAAGAAAATAGTAGCTGAAAAAGCGAAATGTGTCGAGAAAAGCAGTGGTTGACAGAACAGTGGTTGAGACGAGACGAGCTTACATCACTGTCGAGGAAATAAAAAAAAAATGAAGTTTACTTGACTACGCAGTTTGGCTGTATTGGCTGCCTTAGGTATCACGGCTAACTAGGCCTACCACTATTACCGTAGCCGCAGCTACTATCTTCAGTACTTACAAAAATCTAGAAAGACGTTTGTACGAAGGGATTGTCCGACATTCCAGCATATTTCGATTTTAAGGTCCCCCATTTCACCTGACTAGCAATATTATAAGTATTCGACAATAGCTTAGTTACGATGGCGGCAGTACTGATGGTAGTAGCATCTCGTAAGCCTAGTTGGTAGCAGTACACGGTCAATTCAGCCAGACGACACAGTCAAATTAGTCGGGCTCGAAGTAGATGGGGCGCATTAAACAACAAATAAGCTAGGAGCAGCTCATTAAGTATAACAAAGGAATCCTTAACAAATGCATATGCTGTAAAGTGCTCTCGGGTTCACTATCAGTAATCGGGCTCCTGCAAGGTACCTCGCCTAGCGCCGGGCGCCTGGCCAATGCAGTCACGTGATGTTAACTGTCCAGTCAGGAGCTGGGCCGTCGTCTGCAACACATGGATTACAGTGACGTCGAAGCTCTGGAGATAGCTTCTGCTCAACCTCTAACAACACCTCGACGACATTCATCTAGCCCGCCCTTCCCCTCAACCGCCGACCCTCCTACATCCTCCATCGACTCTCCCTTTGTGACGACGCTACACGAGCCGAGCCCTGCTCGCGTCGAACCGCCCAGCATGCCTCCTGTAAGCACCCCGATCCCAACGCCCCGTCGTCGCCATCGCCGCGTCTGTTATGCGGCATATGCCAGCCCCACCGACCTCGATTGCTGGTTGCTGACCTCGGACGCCAACCCCTACAGAAGCAGAAGAAAGAAGCCAAGGTCGAGCAGGAGGAGGATCTCGGACATGGTAAGCTCTTGATACTCTCTGATGCATCTTGATGATGCCATTGACTGACCATATCGTGCAGGCAAGATCTTCTCCGTCTCAGGGTTCGTTTGAAGCTCCCCCGACCCGACTCGGCCCCTCAATCTGTCGCGCGCGACGACTAATCATGCAGATAGACCCGTCATTGTTGCCGAGGACATGATTGGTGTTGCTATGTACGAGTTGGTAGGTTGAGATGCTCGTGAAACGTCTGGGATGATGTCTAACATATTCGCAGGTTAGAGTCAGTCACGATAACCTAGTCGGTGAAGTCATTCGAATCAACGGCGACCAAGCAACCATCCAGGTCTACGAGGAGACTGGTACGTTTCCGACTCCCGATTTCACCCCTCTCCGAATCTAATGCAATGCGCAGCTGGTGTCACTGTCGGTGACCCCGTCTACCGCACCGGAAAGCCCCTTTCCGTCGAGCTCGGCCCCGGTCTGCTCAACGGTATTTACGATGGTATCCAAAGACCTCTCGAGAAGATCAGCGAAATGTCGAAGACCATTTACATTCCCCGCGGTATCGCCGTCCCTGCCCTCGACCGTAATAAGAAGTGGGATTTCGAACCCACCGCAAAGGTCGGCGACCACATCTCAGGCGGCGACGTCTGGGGTACCGTCAACGAGAACTCGTTCATTTCCGTTCACCGAATCTTGCTACCTCCTCGCGCCCGCGGTACCATCACGAAGATCGCCAGCAAGGGACAGTACACCGTCGCCGAGCCCCTGCTCGAGGTCGAGTTCGATGGAAAGAAGACCGAGTACCCCATGATGCAGACTTGGCCTGTGCGAGTTCCCCGCCCTACCACCGAGAAGCTCCAGGCGAACGAGCCCTTCATCGTCGGTCAGAGAGTGCTGGACGCCCTTTTCCCCAGTGTCCAGGGTGGTACCGTCGCCATTCCTGGTGCTTTCGGCTGTGGCAAGACTGTCATTAGTCAGTCTGTGTCCAAGTTCTCCAACTCCGATGTCATCGTCTATGTCGGTTGTGGTGAGCGCGGAAACGAGATGGCCGAAGTCTTGAAGGATTTCCCCGAGCTTACCATTGACGTTGACGGTCGCAAGGAGCCCATCATGAAGCGTACCACCCTCATCGCCAACACCTCCAACATGCCCGTGGCTGCTCGTGAGGCCTCTATTTACACCGGTATCACGGTCGCCGAGTACTTCCGTGACCAAGGTCTCGACGTTGCCATGATGGCTGACTCCTCCTCGCGTTGGGCTGAGGCTCTTCGTGAAATTTCTGGTCGTTTGGGAGAAATGCCTGCTGATCAAGGTTTCCCGGCCTACCTCGGTGCCAAGCTTGCCTCTTTCTACGAGCGTGCCGGTCGCGTCGTGTCTCTCGGTTCACCTGAGCGAAACGGCAGTGTCAGCATTGTCGGTGCCGTCAGCCCCCCTGGTGGTGATTTCTCCGATCCCGTCACTACTTCAACTCTCGGTATCGTACAGGTCTTCTGGGGTCTCGACAAGAAGCTCGCGCAGCGCAAGCACTTCCCCTCCATCAACACCTCGCTCAGTTACTCCAAGTACACCATGGTTCTCGACAAGTGGTATGAGAAGGATTACCCCGACTTCCCCCGTCTCCGTGACCGCATCAGACAGCTCTTGTCCGACTCTGAGGAGCTTGACCAGGTCGTGCAGCTGGTCGGAAAGAGTGCGCTGTCTGACCCCGACAAAATCACTCTGGATATCGCCGCGCTTCTGAAGGAAGATTTCCTGCAGCAAAACGGTTACTCAGACTATGACCAGTTCTGCCCGCTGTGGAAGACGGAGTGGATGATGAAGCTTATGGTTGGCTTCCACGACGAGGCACAAAAGGCCATTGCTCAAGGCCAGAGCTGGGCCAAGGTCCGTGAGGCCACCGGTGATTTGCAGGCCAAGCTGCGTCAACTCAAGTTCGAGGTTCCCTCCGAGGGCCAGGAGGCTATCGAGAAGAAGGTGAGTCTACGTGATAATACTACCGGTCGTTGTCTATTTGCTAACTCAATTGGAATAGTACGAGGATATTCAGCAGCAGATGCTGGACAAGTTTGCCTCTGTTGTTGACGAGTAATTGCGTTTAAGCATTCAGAATTGTCCTGTTTAGTCTGCATTCCTTGCACCGTGATGGGATGTCTCTGGTTTCAATAGATAAGTCTAGGGCGAAGACGCATCATGCATGGTAGTTCCTTGTTTCGTAGTCTCGGCTAGTATATCCTATCTGTAAATGAACGTTACTATAGCCGAAGTGCGCTTTACAGTTGAAAGTGAGACCGGCATACCGCGTGGGTGAAGATGTAGATCGAGGCACTCGGAGGTGCCTGGTCAGCTACGTCCAACTCTACAATAACAACAGAGCTCTGTGCTTGAAGCCCTGGAGCTCATCTTTACCGTTAGTCTACCGGGCGATATCGCTGTACCCGATGCTGTCTAGGAAACAGGCCGACTCATACATACGCACATTTCCTAAGGACGTAGGCTAGATAGCCAGACAGCATGATCGAATTAGGTTCGAATGATTTGGCTGCATGAGTACACAAAGCACCTGCACAAGTAAGATTACGAATTTTCCCATTTCATCGTCCCAAATCTCTGTCTACATCTACGATATTGGTGAAGGTGGATCTGGTGACTGCTCCTGCCTTTCGGATGAATACTACACGGACAAGAGAGAAAGCCCACATAGGTCCCAACAATCCCATTCCTGTCACCAGCCAGCAGGCGCCCGTCTAGGTCGACGGGTCAGGTCAAACTGGCTGGGTGGTGGAGTGGTTTACGGTCAACAATCAAATTACGCCCATAGCCTACTCGACGACAGGCTCCGAGTTCGAGTTCGATTCCCAGCAAGTGCACCAAGAGATGTAGCCACACCGGTGGTGAACTCTTTTTTTCTTTTTCCCTGCTGAATATTCATACGCACATTAGACTGTTTACATTGATTGACCCACGAAAATTTAATCCCCCCTTTCATGATTTACTCATCTCTTCCTGGAGCCATGCTGGGATCGCAGGCGGATGCTCCCAGCCGTCGAGGTAGCTCTGCCTTGAGACGCCTTCACTACTCGGCTTGGCGTAGATGCCCGTAACGTACCAAACCGTCTCGCCCTTCTTGATGGTGTGCTGGAGCGTCGGGATGGTGGTGCGGCTCTCGACGAGGTTGGAGTTGGGGTCGGCGTTGACGAGGTTCGCCGTCCGCTCGATGCGTTCGCCTTCCAGGGCTTTTATGCCCACGGCGCCCTTGGACACGGCAAAGGAACCGTCTTGGCCTCTTGCGAGCCCCTCGGGCGTGTTTGTGTCGTAGTTGCCAATGATTTTGGGAGATGTGCCCTCGCCCTTGGCTACGTCGTAGAGGTCGAGGTACCGCCCGTCTGTCGAGTTCTCGTTGGCAATGGCAAAGGAGCCGTCGGCGGTCATGACGTCGCGGCCGGCTTTGATGTGGTGGATGCGCAGGTGCCAGTTGGGTGTGGCCTCGGCAGGGGGCACGAGGATGGTCTTGATCTCGACGTCAGAGAAGGGCTTCCACACGGAGACGAGGACCGGCCCGCTGCCGTCTCTGGACTCGATACCGGCGTACTGTGAGAGCCGGCGCGTCTTCCAGTACTCGCCGCCGTCGTCCGAGAGGCCGAGCTGTGAGGCGAGGGCGTACTGCTCGAGGGAGAAGAGGCCCGGGGGTACGGAGTAGCCGTAGGCGCTTGAGTAGGCGAAGGCGCCGTATTTGGCGTGGGTGCCCTTCATCGGGTAGCTGCAGGCCTGGCCGGAGGAGAGGAGCATGCAGTGACCGCCAATATTGCTCATGATGTGGCCTGGCTGGGAGAGGGGCTTGAGCTTGGGGATCACATCCCAGGCTTGTTCTTCCTTTGATGTCCAGAAGGGGTGGTCTTCGGGGACTGCGAGGCAGATGAAGGCTAGGCAGGCCCAGTACTGGCAGGGGATATCAGCCGGCTATAAACTTGTAAAGGTGGTTTATACAGGCGCAAAAACTCACAGGACTTCCGGGACTGTTGTAGTTCTCGGCCATGTACATGTTTGGGTACGAGTACCCAACCGTCAACGTCCCGCTCGGGCTCCACATGTCGTGCTGCGTCTGCCACCAGCGCAGGTGACGCATCACGATGCCCTTGACCATACCCCACGTCAGGGGCTTCGGCAGCTCGACGCCGGCGTACGCGAGGGCGCCCCAGAACGAGACCATGGCGAAGCGGTAGCCGACGCTGCGGCCAAAGGGGATGGCGCGCCCTTGTTCGTCAAAATAGTGCGCGAGGTCGAGGGCGACCAGCTGCGCCCTCTTGCGGAACTCAGCGGCGCGCTCGGGCTCGTCGTCGCCGGCGATCTTGGCGTAGAGGAGCTGGAGGAACTGGATGGCGAAGCTGGAGGAGTAGTAGTCCATCTGGTGGATGCCCTCCGGCCCGTCGTTGGACCAGCCGCCGGCGCGGTAAAAGGTGTCGAGGTGCTTGATGTCTGCGTCGAGGCGCGCCTGTGAGAATTTACCGCCGTTCTTCTTGAGGCCTAGGTTGGCGAAGACGCGGAACCAGAGCCAGTTTGTGTTTGGCATGCTTTGAGAGAGGTTGTAAGTGTTAGTAATGTAATTTTGAACGGGGATATGACTGCATATTTACTTCTTCTCGTTGATTGAGTTGCCTAGCCAGTTCTCGACATTTACACGCTCCTTTTCGGATAGACTTTCCCAGATAGTTGGTGCTACGGCGAGAGTGAAGCCTATCATATCTAGTCAGTCTCTGCGAAGTGGCCGGCATATTCACTCGTGTAAGGTAAATCAAACATACCAAAAGGGCACATCTCAACCATGCGCTGGTCATTATCCCGGGGAAACCCCCAGTACTCTGGGTTCTCGGGGTCAGTACCAGCTTTGATGCCCTGGATCCACCACTCGGTGCCGCGATACTCTCCCCCGCCGGCCAGGAGGGCCGCGAGGCCCCAGATGGGGCGGAGGATGCCCTCGACCTCAGAGGCGGCCTGGTCGAAGCGGACGGCGGTGGCGCCGGGGACCCTGACGCGGGCTTTCTGGGGAGAGAAGAAGGGCTCGAGGGGGTCGAGGAGGGTACGGAGGAGCTCTTGGACGGAGGACCTGTCTGTGAGGTTTACTTTGGAGAAGGGGTGGGCGCCATTGTAGCCCAGCACGAGGCCGGTTTTGGGGTCCTCCATGACGAGCTTGAGGTGTGATTATCGATTAAGAATGAGGGACACCTTGTGAGGGAGAGAGAGCAAGAAGAACGAGATGAGAACGTCAGGTAAGAGTAGAGGAAAACGTTCGGAATAATGAGTAGCTATGTACGCGGGGGAGCATCGAGGTCATAACCCGGCATCCCACGCAACGAACCTCGCGTTAGAATTACTCCGGCCAGCATGAATACACGAGCAGTCGGGCGACTTTCGCCGTGCCGTGTAGACGCAGAACCATCGGGTCTAGCTTTGCGGGATGGTAAGATGGTGGGGTCGACTTCAGTCTTCGGGGGGAGCTCTGTCCAATGTTCTTCTTCTCTCCCCTTCAAGATCGTCAAAGCAGGTTGTTGCTTGGGGGTTCCTCCCCGCTCAATGTTTGGGGTTCGGTGGGGGTGGAGCGTGAGGGGGAGGGGCTGCTACGACAAAGTACGGATACCCTCGTATGAATAAGTGCTACTAACGGCGATGCGGAGGAGGGGAAGGGTGACCTGTATCCGTGTTCGCGGCTAAATGCGAAATGGAAGACAACCTGCAGCACCGGCAACCATGCCGGCCGTTCAGCCTTAATGCAATGGGGGCTGCTCTACTGCAGGTTAGATAGTCTTGGAGATTCATGGTGCAGAGACCGGTGATGCATGTGCTGTCACCTAGGTGAAGAATATGCCAAATCGTATGGTCCATGGAGACCAAATTTCTCCGGATGAAGGGCTCGCCGTATTTCCTGCTGTAGCTCGTAACTGCGGTGTTTGCATCCGTCAGTAGGCCCGACTGAGGACGGAGCATCACAGGTGTGGTTCTGCAACTGTGTAACTGGCTACCAATAACTACAATGTTGAACCCTGGAAATGTTCAACAATAGGAAGGGTGGCCGAGTTGGTTATGGCGCCAGGTTAAGGTCAGCTTAACATCTGTTTCCTGGTGGGGCAACCCGCGCGAGTTCGAGTCTCGTCCCTTTCATTTTTCGATTTTTTGACTTTTGATACGATACCCTTCTGCTAAAATGAAGGTATCTGATCATTTTATACCCCTTGCACTGCATCTCGCTGTATTTTAACTCAGTCGAAGCTGGTGTCGGTGAGTTCGGGGAAGGTTAATATGCTAAGGTAAGTCGTAGATACCTTCCCACCTTTAACCAAAGTTCCGCAGTTCTACGCTTCGCGCGTTGAGTTTCATTGACCTTGATGACTTTGGAATACTTGACCTACATATCCGTTTCTCTATGTAGAATTTGATAAGGCGTTTGTTCTCCCTGCCATTGCTTGAACTTTGGCTGGTTTACTGTGTGATTCTTCCCGTGTATAAGCCCTCAAGATCTCGTTTATGGCAACCAAGTACGAGACAGGGATGCCTCTTGAGAAAGTGCCTAGGACGTCGATGCATCTCGCTCAGCACACGCTGGTGGTGAAGAAGAAGTAAAGCTGACACTAAAAGGCTACGTCTCTAGCGAAGAGAAGCCGGTCAACAAGCCACTATCCTACATCCTTCTTTAGCAACCCCATTGTATTCTCATCTGAATGATCCGCAGACGAAAGCCAGAGGTAGATAGTGGTGTAGCTAGCCTGTATCATCGCGTGTAGGTGTAGATATACCAGGCGGGCCCAAAAAGCATATTCAGTATTTCGGCAAAGAAGCCACTGCCGAATAGGAGATGTGGGCCGCTGATATTGATTCAGTTCAAGCCTGGAGAAATCATGTCAAGACAGAAGAGAGCAATCGTATATATACACCTTTCTAACGGTAACGACAGAAAGACAAGAGACAATAGTGGTAAGGCGCGGACCACAGAGTCTCACGAGGACACTCGACTACCTATCTAAGTCACTTACCTAGAGTAGGCACTCACACGTTACCTGAGGTAACTAATAGCTTCTAGCTGGAGCATATTTAGAAGGAGTAGGTCCCGAGAGGACATGGCGCCCGTCACATCTTCAACTTCAAATACCCACCAAGACGTGTTCGATATTGTGCATTTGTATGGGCCGAGATTTCTCGCGTCTTTAACCTATCACCGTACCCAGGATGGACGTAATACCACAGAAGAGCGTTCACATATATATCACGCGGAACCCAGGCATCAGATCAACTACTTCAGATCCGCATCGTTGGAACATAATATTCATCTTCGGTTCATCTTTCTTCTTCCCTACAGCCAATCCTCTAAAAACCCATCCTCCAACAGCTTCACCCGAGCCATATGGCATGCACCGCCGCCACAACCCGCCCATGCAACAGAAATACCAACAGCCCCAAAGAAAATTTCAGAATGCCAAACCCAAAGACCAGCCGGGAGCCCAGCATTCTTCTCCATTCCCTCATGCTTGAATGTCTTGAACCCTGGAAAAAGGAAGAGCCAAAGTGACCACGTAAACCGGCAATAACGCAGCGATGCAGCGATGCAGTACAAAGACGCCCCAATGATTTGCAAGCGCCTCGACTCCTTTCGTGCCCTCCTGTACATCGTGGGGGAATAATTCACAATCGAAAAAAAAGGGTGGAACCACTCCGAATCCTCAGTTCCCTTCCTCCCCTCCAACTGACAAAATGGCAGGTACTGTGTGATTGAGCTTGTGTAAGGTGGGGATGGGTATTTCCCCCCTCAATGCTAGTGTTCTTCGAAGTAGTAAACATTACGTAGTTTTCTGTGTATATATGACTCCGACTGGTGACTTTTTTCTTCCCACATGAGGTCCGGGCTCATGGCTCTACAGGTGTGTTCTCGGTCGAAGGTGTCGGGGGTATCTCCTCCTCCTTCGCTTCCGTCACAGTCGTGTCTCCTTCGCTGACGGCAGTGTTTGTGGATGTTGCTTTTTCCCGCCTGCGTCTTCTCATCCTCCTCTCTTCCTCGGCCGTCTGCCTCCTCGAGCGCCGTAAGCTCTCTCGCTTCTCCGGGTCGGCCTCATCGGCCCCGTCTCCTCCACGTATACCTTGTAGCAACAACGCCGCACGATCGGCCACGTCGTCCTCTCCAGCTTCTCTGGGTGACGACAGTCCCGGGCTGATGGGGTTGCCTTCTTCGTCAATAGTCGCCTCCTTAGGCGCTTGTTGTATGGAGGCTTCGACCTCGGGGATTTCGTCTGGATCAGGGATTTTCTGTCCAGATGCGACTCGCACCTGATGACGATCCTTGAGTCTGGCCCTGCGACGACGATCTCTCTGGTCTCGTGTCTGAGGCGCAGCAGCGCGCAGCTTCTCCAGCAAGGAGTCCATGGCACCTGCGCTTGATGGCGAGGGCGGTGCTCCGTCCACCTTGGCATTTGATACCTGGAGTTGGGCGTGCTTCCGCTTCATAGACGCCTCGTTGCGCCTGCGCGTCTCCTCGAGCTGAACGTTCTTCTCCCGGGACTTCTTCCAGCCCATAATGAACATGGCAAGCTTGGCAAAGAAGTCTCTGCGGGCGTTCTCGTCGGTGGGGTCTTCGCCATAAAAGACCATGATATCGTTGTATGTCTTCATCATCTCCTCCAGGTACAGCTGCATCTCCTCGGCCTTTCTTCTCGCGTCCTTCATGATTCTTTGGACAATTTGACTAACGCGATCTTGGGGATGGAACTTCTTGGAATCGCTGAGATTACCGGCGTCGAGAGACATTTGAACGTTCTTCACTGTGTCAATGTATTGTTTGGCGTCTTGCTGAACTTGCTCAATGTTGATCTTTTGAGCCATCACGACACCGTTGATGTCTTCCGAAAAGTCTTCCCATTCGGGGTACTGATTACGAACGATTCGCTCGACGAGATCGGCGAGCGTAGATTCATTCTTGTCATCCTTGACCATGCCCAGACGGGCAAGAGAGCTCAGCTTGAAACCGCGGGCCTGCTTGTTGGCGTCGTTCATGTAGTTTCCGATATCGAGAATGAGACCGAGAACGTTCATGAGGGACACGGAGTCTCGCAAAGACTCGGACACGGCGACGACTTGTCGCATCTTCTCCGTGATCTCGTCAAAGTCGGGCTCGAAGCTCCTAGTAAGGGCCAGAGCTCGCATACGGGCCTTCCAGTAATGATGCAGTTCAAAGGCTGTGAACAGGTAAATCTGATCCTGTCTGGTGAGTTCGGCAGGGTCCTGTTCGCGTTCGGCCTTGTCGGGGTTTGCGCCGGTCCAATCCTTGCTGTACGGAGCCATCTGCTTCGCTGTGTTATCCGGAATATTACACAGATCATCCTTGCGCAAGAAGTCCATGACGACCGAGTTATCGAGGATCTCCTTGTCACAATGGATGATGGACTGCACGATTTTCTCAACGGAAACCTGAGAAAGTTTGGCGAAGGCAATTTCTAAATAGCTTCAGTCAGTTGCTGTCGCTTAAAGTAATGCGGGAAGAGGGAGGGAACATACCGAAAGCTTTGCGGAGGTCGCCGGAGATGATTTGCTTCTTGTCATCCTTCTTTGCGCCACCACCAATTCCGAGTCTCTTGATTTCCTTGGCCATGAAGAGCTTCTCAACCTCGTCCAAAATGCCCTTGCGGCTGAGTTCGAGATACTTCTCTTCGCGCTCCTCAGCAGACGGAGCATGGGCAGCCCAATGCGTAGTCATGTGAGAGTCGACCTTGTCCCAATGAAGAGCCTTGAGTTTCTTCTTTGGACGAACAATAGGCAAGCCGATAGTATTCCCGCCGGCGAAGGGTGTTGCCTGTGATAGGAAGTGGCCTGAGATGGCGCCAGGCAATGGGGGAGGGGGAGGTGGTGGCATTCCCGGAAGACCGCCTGGGGGTGGCGGAGGCGGTGGCGGTGGCGGCGGAGGTGGAGCACCAGTCGGGGACAGCATTCCCGGCATAGGCGGAGGCGGGGGTGGCGGGGGAGGAGGTGGTGGTGGAACACCGGTTTGACCGGGCATAGGCGGCGGGGGAGGTGGAGGAGGGGGAGCGGCAGCCCCGGTAATTTGGATCTTGGGAGGTTCGCCATCGGCAGGTGTAATTGGAGAGCCGGACTCGAGGCTGGGATGAGAAGGGCCAGTGGTTGCGCCCTCGGCGTCTTCTGAATCGCTTCCCTCGTATTTCTTGACCTTGCCGGCCATCTCGCCAAAGAGACCGGCTTTTTGGTTGGGGTCCATAACGGGGCGGCGGATCTCAACGACCCGGGGCTTCTCATAGACAACTCCGTCCTCGTCCATCTCGACATCTTCGCCATCGGGGAAATCACCTTCCATAGGTTCGCCACGGCCGTTGACTGGCTTGCGGGTGATCTTTGTGTTGCGGTTGACGCTTCCGAGCATACTGTTTGTGAAGTCTCTTGGCGGCGTACCAAGTCCTGACCCCATCGTGCTGTCGTCCATCTCCTCGCGGAGAGCGCGTAGTCGATCAGATGGCCCGACGGCATCTCCCCACACTCTACCCTCCAGCTTGAATTGGGTCTTTTGGCGTTCGATCTGCATCTGAAGACGCTCCATGAGTCGGTCACGGTCCAAGATGCCCTGCATCCGAGCCGGATCTTCTTCCCCAAGCTTGTTGGTGCCCTTAACGGCATTAGAGGCAGCAACGTCTTGTGCGTCTCTAAGCATGAGGTAAAGCTCTCGGGTCTCGAGCTCGTACCGTTGGGCTTCCTTCTGACGCAGCGTTTGAATGTTCTCGAGCTCAGCTTTCAGGCCTTCGGCTTGCCGCCTTTGAGCTTCAATGAATCTCGCCTGCTCATCTAGTTGCTTTTGGAGCTTTGCCACTAGTCCATCGGCGCCCAGCTCTAACCTCTCCTTCATCTCATCTCTCTCCGCCATGGCAGCGTCAGCAACCTGGCGTGCCTCGAGTGCCTCATCTTGGGCTTGTCGGGCCTCTGAATCCGTGTGAAGCTTATCTAACAGACTCTGGACAGTGAAGTTCAGACTTTGCTTGAGGTCCATGTTGGGCAAACGCCTATCCATGGCCACATAGCTCAACATTGAGTCCACCAGCTGGAACATCCGCAGTCGCTCTTCGCCATCATTGTCACGAATGAGCAGCAGATGCTGCAGCGCTGAGATAAAGTAGTCCTGCGTCTTACTCCCACGCAGGCGCTGCTGGATGGCATCCACAATCTGGACAGGGTCGTTGAGGTCTTTAACTTCTCCTTCGACGCTATCCTTAATGCTGTTGTTTTCCTTTTCCAGCAGATCCTCGTAGTCGATGGCCTCGTTGGTTCGGAAACGCTCAATCTGCTTGTCGATGAGGTCGTATTGGAACGACTCCATCTTGGTCAGGATGCGCCTGATGCCGCATGCTGTAAACTGGGCGCGAATGTGCATTCGCAGTTGCAGGTCCTTCTCCGGCGCATCGACAATCATGTTGATAAGAATCAGCGTCGCGACGGCGTATTCCATGAGCAGGTTCTCCATGCCGATGCCACCGCTCCGGACCTCATCACTGGCTCCGACCATACTGCCCATCTTTCCACGCCCGTCCACTGTAACTTCAACAAGCCGCATCCAAGCGTCGAAGCGGCCATTTTCTCCTTGCTGTGCCTTGACGGAATCGAGAGCTTGGATAACCTTGAGGTGACCTTCCCCATCGCCCCAGTGACACAAGAAAGTGAGTACTTCGCTGACCAACTTGCGAGTTGTCAAGCGCTGGGAGGTCAGGGAGGTCGCTAACGCGATAATGACTTGTTGATGGACTAGAGCATCGTCGGCGCCGAACTTGTTGTTCATCAAGGCCTTGAGACACTTGATGATGTCGTATTCGCGGTCGAAGTTTCGGTCTGATCTCCCATCTTGTACTGGTCCCGTTGCGGTCTTGCGGTTGATCTTCATGAGAACGTTGGTCAACGCGACTTGCCCCTGACACTCGATGAAGCGCTTAACCCAACCAATCTGTTGCGTTCTGAGATTGACCTCCAAACTCCCCAAGCCCTTTGTGTCCAAGCTGTTATCCATCACGCGCCGCACATACCATTCTGGTGAACCCTCCTCGTCCGAGTTGACCAGAATCTCTGGGGCCGCATACTGATTCGGTTTCGCTGTTTGCCTCCTTTTCTGCTCTCCTTGCCACTCGGTCAATCGGTCCTGGTATAAAAGCGTCCATTTCTTGTCCGGCGCGTACGCGACCATCTGTCGGCGAGCCTGCTCGGGTAGGTTGTGCCATCCTCGTTTTTGCATCAAGGCCAGAAACATCTGGCCGATAATTTCGTCGTTATCCGGCCGGGGGAAATGAAACCCATCGTGTCCAGTGGGCCCCATGCCGGGGAACTTTGTCAGTCGGTGCGAGGAAGGGTGCGTCGAGTCCCTATAGGACATGTGCGAGGAATAGGAACTCTGCGAAGAAGCACTGGGCAGCGCTGGTCTTGATGAGCGATTTGCTGCCAAGTCATAGGTGCCTCCATTACCTGATGAGAATATGCTGGCTTGGTCAGCGGAACTACGACCCGCCGATGTCATGTACGAATCGTATCTGGGGTTGTGGGACCCATTGATTGTGCTCGCCGTGCTTCCGCGAGCAGGCCCTGGTCCCCACTGTTGGTATTGCGTCTGGCGGCCTGTACTGGCCATTGTGATAT